AAGTAAAAAGCGTTCACAACTACAATAAAAGGGCTACTTTAACAGATTTGGCGAACATTATTTGAAACGCTGCGAATATAAAATAATATTTATACTTCTCAATTTCTCAATATATTAAAAAATATAAAATGAATGAGCAACTAACTATTTTAAGGAGGAAAGTAAAAAGCGTTCACAAGTACAATAAAAGTGTTATTTTAACAGATTTGGTGAATATTATTTGCGATTTACAATATTTAAAATAATATTTATATTTCTCTTCTTAATTAAAAATGAAATTTATACGAAAATAGAAATGATTGCAGAATATCTCCATAATAAGCGTACAATATTGCTGTTGAAGTACTTCAGAAGCAATTAAATTATTTAAATATTATTATTTCGTTTGCTTGTTCCCATATAAATAATTTCGCACACGAAAATCTGCACTTTTTAATTCATTTATTCAAACCAAATCACTTCCAAAGCAATAAACAAAAGAGAATTCCAGCAATACATCTAAAATATAGTATTGTGTGCGTGAATGCTTTTGTGTGTTTGGCAGTTATTTGAAACTCTGGCCAATTGCGTAGCAACCGGGCATGGCTGTGGCGCTCGAGCCACAGTCCCCACAAAATTATTGTGACTTGTTGTTAACAAACTGAAATTCAAATTTAAATTCACACACATTTCACAAATTGTTGTTAAAGCCAAAACAAAAAAAACAAAAAAAAAAACAAAAAAAAGCGTTCTCTGCCATTTTGGCATGCAGTGAGCGAAACAAACAGATATTGCTTTTGCCTTCCATCATCATCAGCAGGCTGGCAAAGAGCTGGTTGGTGGTGGGGGAGGGGGAGGGGGGAGATGAACCCCAGTCGGTTAGCTTTATATGACGAGTACACGAACATTTTTAACTTTTTGCGTTTCGAGTTTGGCACCCAACACTTGTGGTCGACAAATGAATGAATATTTAACAAACTTGTGCACAATTCACGAGCACTCTTTGAATATTTTAGCTAGAATGACGAACCCACGTCGAAGGCAAGCCCAACAACATTCACTAAATCCCACACACACACACACACACACACACACACACACACACACACACACTCACTCACACACACTCACACATATCCTGGCAATTTTCGTCTCATCTATCTTGCTGCAGACAACATTGGGGATGCATATACTTGTATGGTAACGGATTCTCTACATACACACACATATGCATGTATTTCCATCTGCCCGTCTGTCTGTCTGTCTTTTTGTCTGTATATTTGAACTAGTGTTGGGGTTTAGTTCGCATGACCTCATGCATATATGTAGTTTGCTGAAACATTTAAGTATATTTAATTTCCCCATCTCACTTGTGCGCATTTAGCAATGCCAGCTGCATTCCTTCGCCTCTGGATAATTTGAAACTTTTCCCCCATACACGAAATTAATAAACTCGAACAGCTTTTTGTTTCTCTGTGCAGTCAGTCTATTATTGTGTCAAACGAAATGTTTTATATTCTTCAAGCTCACACACTCTGCAGATGGTGGAGATTTTTGCTGGAGTGTATTTCGGAATTCATTATATATCAGACAGTATTCCATTAAATCCATTTGTGAGACAGGTGAGCAATTGTATCCTAATAAATAAATTAAATATCAAGCAGTATTACATTCTATATTTAAGTATTTCATACGGTTTATTGTTGAAAATAAATCCAAAAAACTCCAAAAACAGATTTCTCAGAATTGTGTTTCTTCTTCAACAAACACAATTATGAATTCATTCCTGACATATAAACGCACTTCAGAGTTAAGATTCAAGCACACGTAGAAAGCATTATCTAAATTAACGTTACCTTGTCGATAATTTAGTAATCGATACACAATTTGTGCCTTTGCAGCCCTTGCTTTAGTTTTTGTATCACTTCTTCCCTGACTACTGAAATGTATGGAAGCACACAAAATATTAACACCAACCTACACCGATCCTCGGGCATTGTTTAATTATAACAAAATACCTAAAACTTAATATTAACCACGCAGTTAGTTTAGTGGGCAAAAATATATATATAATAATTATAAAGATTAACAAAAATGTTTAATGTTAAAAATAAAATTAATAATAAGAAAGTAAGTTAATAATAAGCGTAGGAAACTAAATAAAATTAAAAAATATAGTTTTCTGCTGCAACAAGATTCTTTGAGACTTACTTTTCAAAAAATTTACTTGAAAAACAACATAAACTTGTATGCAAATTTATTGCATATGTATCTGGCGGTGCTTAGTTTTTTTACAGTATCCTACATACCATTTAGGTAGCAAGCTTTATTCTGAAATGTGTGAGCCTGTTTGTGGCTAGAAGCAGCAGCAATTCCCCAAATCTGGAGTCCTTATCTTCGGGTTGGTGTGGTGTTTTAGTAAGGCGTAGAGTGTCCCCTTATAGCGCAGGGGGGAGGGGGGTTGATCTGATGGAGAGCAGTTTGTCCCTCTTTTGCCTACAGTTGGAGACCGTGGCTTGGTTGTGGGACTTAAGTGTTAGCCGCTTCTTCCGAATGACATTCAGATACTTGGCTTTGTAATCCATTTGCAGAGCTTCGCCGTTAAGCCAAGCTGCAGGCACCTTACCTCAGCGTAGATTAGAGCAAACGTTTCTGCACTTTGACAGATACACTCAAATGTTCCCGCTGCGAGCCAAGTTCTTAAGCAGATGGCAGCGTTCTTGAAAGCCGTCAGCTACCTTATAATCGCGCCGAGCTAAAATAAAAAAAGCATATTGTATGCGAAATAAACAGGCTGCGTTTTGTCAATTGGAGTGCCTGATTTCCTGGTACTGGAATGTCCCCAATGTCGATGAAAAATAGGAGCGGTCGACTGGGGCCTGTCCTGGGCGGCTCCAGATAACAGACAACGTAGTAGATGCTCTCAGCTTCGCCTGGCAACTTCACAATCACTCGCACAGGTATGATCCTAACTGGAGGTACTAGAAGGCGGCGGGGAGCAGTTTCCTTTACGTGGAAAGAAGATCTATGCGCCAGACATCATTGCATCAATTCTTACCCTCTTACTCCTTCAAGTTATGATTCACTGTACAACTTAGTTTTTGTATTTTTCGTTAATAAAAGACTTACTTGGCTTGTAGTTTTTTTAATATATTTTGTTGCATATATTTTTCCCACTGAAGAAATTGTATTTAATGTACTCGTATTTACTTATGCTAAGAGCTTAAGAATTATTGCAAACATTACATTTGATTTCGTTTAGTTGTTGTTCACCTCATTCATCGGCTTTCTTTTCAAATATATGCTTAATGCTGTTTATTTATGAAGTTGTTCTTTATTTGAGAATGCGAATACACGTATTTGACAATTATTTATGTATTATGCTTAAAATTGCCGTAAGCCTTTCAAACACTACCTAATGTTTTCCTCTCACTCACCTGCTCAATGATCTCGAGTACAATAAATATTTATTTACCTATCTTTTTTATTGCGAGCTGCCGGCCCCACCATATCCGTGCCTTGACTCACTCAAGGAACGCAGTAAACTTACACTTGAAACATATTTACACAACTCTTTTCATTTCACTTCATTTCATTTCTTCGAGTACAATACAGATGATTCAGTACTTTAGATATTGCTATATAATTCACTTTATTTATTGGAATAGAGTTTGTTTTTTCTAAATGTTTGGTTTTTTCTTTACATACATAAAAACATTCATTTAATTATGCCGAAATGAGTTAAACAAATATTTACAATTCAAAAACAGATGATGGAGAAACTCCCCTCTGAGCTGGCGATATATACAGTTTTCAATTATGTAAAAATAAATATGTTTGTGGACATAATAGCTATATTTATCCATAAAAAACAATTCTGAAGTTGTGGGAAAATAGGGTGGTGCTGATAATAATTAATAATGGTTGCTGAAATGTCATGGAAACTTGATCAAATACTTGACTGTGGATAAAAGTTAAGTATTAATTATTTGAAATGTGTGGAGCAACAAGGAGAGAACTCTTTACTTTTGCGTTTCTCATTAAATTTCTCATAAACAAATTTTAGTGACAATTTTTTGATGAAACAGCAAAAGTTTCATCTTTGAAGTGTTGTTAAATATTTCAAATTTTAAGTAATTCTTTAAGTGGTGTTTCTTAAGAGGTAAAGAATAGTCAATTGAAATGAAATCCAAAACATGATTTGCAGGTTTTTTAAAATTAATATTTAAGAATGTTTTTGATTTTGAAAGATGGGAAGATCTAAATACTAGAGGTCTATATTTCTCACGACCCTCCTTCACTTGATAGTTTTTCGATTAACATACTTATATTGACAGTTAAACAAATTCCACGATTTATAATCGTTTTATGACCAATGTTGTTTAAAATATTAGCACAATCAACTCCAAAAATAAACAAACACAATGGCGTCTATCATATAAATTAAATTCATAAAATGTATTATGGTGCTAAAACCGCTTAAAAATAATTATAAAATCATATGAAGAACACAAAACACTTCCCTTTTTCAAAAAGTTATACCATCAAGCACAAGTGGGTTATCGTGGAGTCTTCAGCTTTTAAATACAATAATTAATTATTTAAGCAACAGAGGAAGCAAAACAACTTTGAAATCAGAACCCTAAGTAGCCTCATAGTTTTCTTAATTTTATAATTTATTTATTTTGTTTATAAACTCAATTGTAAGGACTTCAGCCTTTCGTTCATTTTCCATTTTGTATATATCGCCAAAATAAATAAAAATTGTGCTGTGAATTATTCAAAGCAACTGAAAAGTGTGGAAATGTTTTGAAATCGAAACCCTAAGTACTCATAGCCTGCTTACCTTAAACATTTTAAATATTAATTATATTAACGCGCACGCATATTTCTTTTGACTATTGGTTTTCTTTAACGTATTATAGTTGTTAGTAAGTATTTATGTTTTGGTTTTGGATTTGTTTCTGTTCTTTATATGTATGTATGTATGTACTCGTACTAATATGCATCGCATTGAGAATGTCTTTCATTCGGTTTTTTTTTTTATATTTTTATCGAGTAAAAATCTAATCATAATCTAAACAGAATCGCTCACATAAAAATTCCATTTTTGGCCACAACACCCGCTTGGACGCCACTCTCTAGGGATGATCGGAGAGGTGGGCACTCAAGTTTTATCCTCAGCCACTTTGGTGCCACTAATTGAGCTGTTGACGTGGCCGCAGCTGCCGGCGGTTCGGCCCAGCCTGTGGGCATGGGTGTAGATGAGGGTATGGGTGTGGGTGTGGGTGTGGTTCCTCGTCTGTGACCCTGTGGTGCTGCTGATGTTGCTGCTTCTGACGCTTCGGCATCCTGTTGCCGATTTAGTGGCGCCTGTGCATGAAAATCGCTTTGCCAACGCCCGCGGCTTCGCCGCAGCCATTGTTGTTGTTGTTGCTGTTGACTCCTGCGGCTGCGCTGGTGGTTTGTTGACTTTGTTGTTGCTATTGCGATTGCGAAGGCAATGGGTTAGATTTCTTGCGAGCGCAAATTTAATAATCCACAGCAGTGCCAAAATTGTTGTAACACTGCGCCACTGTGAATGGCCACGACTGCCAATTAGCACTTTCCAGCTGACACCCGCGGATTTTATGGCCGATGCGGAATATTCACCTAAATTTTGAGAGAGAACAAGCGAATGGCAGAACAAACAAAATGTATTATCATTAGCTTGTAAATGTAAGCGTGGAAATGGCACCCACATGGTTGACAAAATCAATTAGTTCCCTCTCAAAAATTAATGACAAAATTGGCCAGTTATAATGCTTGTTTGCCAACAAAATACAAAAAAAAAATTTAAGCGCATATTTGCAAAACCAAATGCCAATTACAGTTTCGCAGAAAACCTAAGCCCAACCACACAACCAACCCGTTGTACATTCTGCCACATTTAATTTTGAGTATAAATTGCTAAATTATTACACATTTCCGAGTATCTTCGTGTGCGTGTGTGTGTGTGTGTGTCGGTATTGGATAGCAATTGGGCAAATAAAGCGCATATTGTAATTAAATATTTCTAACAGCAGCAGCAAAGCAAATAAAGGTGTGGATTTATAAACAGAGCGTGTGAAATGCTCACAAACCAAACACAATCACACACACACACACACACACATGCATCTACATATATTTGCTATATTGCTTATGTATGTGTTTGTATTTGTATTTGTGTGCTTACAGCATGTAAATACTGCCAAAATGAACTCAAACAAATAACCAACAAATTAAGTGCGATGGCAACATTTTTCCATAGTTTTTTTCCCCCCGTTGGCTACAACCGAAACTCATTAGTGTTTGGTATATGATGGATATAGAACACATGAGCTGTGCAGACTTCTGAACACCCTACACAGCTGTAATTGTGATTTAATATAAGAAAAGCCTATATCAGGTAGAAATGTGGTGGATGAAAACTATTAATTTTGAAAGTTTTTAAATTTGTCACAACACCAATAACTCCCTTAAAAAAAGGGCACTTATTTAAAATATATCTTTGCAGTTTATCCTACCCTATACGCGAAGGTGCAAGAATATACTTCAATATATTAACGCCAGACATAGCTGCCATAGAAACCATTGATGTAAAGATCTCTCTTAGTAGCACTATTTTATTCATTACAATTTTATAGTTTCACTCATTATTGTTTGGTATATGTTGGATATAGAACACATATGCTGTGCAGACTTCTGAACACCCTACACAGTTGTAATTGTGAATTTATATAAGAAAAGCTTTTATTTTATGTTACCATTATATATTCAGGTAGAAATATGTTAAGCGAAAAGTTTCAGATTTAAAAGTTTTTAAAATTACAAAAATTTCATCTATTTCAAATATTTCTTTGCAGTTGCTTCTTCCCTATACTCGTTGGTGCAAGGATATTCTTCAATATATAAACGTAGTTATATCTGTTGCTGCTATAAAAACCATCTTAGTAGCACTATTTTATTGTTTACAATTTTATAGTTTCACATCATTTTCTGATTTAAATTTTCCCCAAAATCAGTTTTTGGTTAAAGGGCAGGGTATAGAAAAGACAAGCTGGCGCGGCTTGTGAATTTTGCTCGTTATATTTGAATTAAATTAAATATGTATTTTCACATTTTGTGTGAGATGCGGTGAAAAAATATGAAAGTCCCCCACATCCTTCGCTTCTTTTGTGTATCAATCATAATGAAGCGATATGCCTGACCCCCGATTGTGTGTAGAGCGACAAATTGTGAAATGCGATATGTTGGCTAAAACAAAATGCGGTGAAATGCATTTTTTTGCCAGCCTGCCAACAAATGTGTGGCAAAAATAATTTATTTAAAATAATTAAAGTTATTTTGCGTTTAAGTTGCGTTTGACATGCCGCCGCTTAGTTAAATATTCAGCGGGCAGGTGAATTAAATAACTAGGGGGCTGACCAACCGCAGGTGTTCGGATACAACATATACTTGTGTATGTGTGTGTGTGTTTAAATTTAATTGCAGCAGTGCATGTGCAGAAGCAGGGTATGTGGGAATTCCTGCCTCCCTCCACTCCCGCCTCTTATGCAAATTAATTACGCCATAAAGCGGTTTCTGGTTATGCGACCTTATAAATTCAATAAATCAAAGAAAATGAGCGGAAAAATACCGAAAAAAAATTAAATAAAAATAAATAAATAATGTAATGATAATATCATTAAGTTATTAATAATCATTTGTCAATGCTGCTGTAGTTGTTGTTATCGTTATTATTGTTATTGGGCGTTTGCCATAATTTGCAGGAACCATCAACAGCCGCACTTTAAATTGACAGCCGCAATAATAAAACCAACAACAACAACAACACCACTATTGATTGCAATTGACGCAAATAAGGTCGGACTTCTTGTTATTGGCTGGCCATTAATTCCAATGTAATGCCTACAACAATTGCCGCCCCATGTGCCATCAAGTTTATTAACCTTTCGCTGCAGAATAATATTAAATTTAATATAAAAGAGGATATTCTGATCGCTCTGCGAGCCGCTTATTAAATAATGCAATTAAATTGCTTATGAAATTTTGCAACAGCGGACATACATATATCTACCTAGAGGTATATACAGCTGCAGAGAGAAATATAACGCTTTTTTAAGAATCTGAAGATTAAATCTTCCATTCAGAAATCCAGGCAACTTCTTAACGTATTAAAAAAAAGGAAAAAAAAACAATTTCTAAATGTTATGGACTGATTTTAAGATACTTAGTAATACTTAGTAAGTATACAAGCAAAAAGAAGTCAAATATCCCTCAAATTTGAACATTAAACTTTTTAAAACAAATATTTTTATAAAACCAAAAAAATTAATTGAAAATATATCTCAATTTTCTGACTCGCTGTCTTAGCTTTCTTTGGCGATTCAGCCGTACTACTCCTTAACTACAGTCCGAAACTCCTTCGATCTTTGAAGAATAACATGTTTTTTCAAGTCAGCCCCTAGAATTATTTATTGATTTCAAATCTGGCGACTAGGCAGGCCTTTTTTCTCTAAGTACTTAGAACCCTTTCTGCTCATACTTGTATGCTTCCTGCTGGCAGACCCTTTTCAATTTCATACTCGTTTCACGTCTCCCAATAAACTTTTCACTTACTACGGTGCTATTTTTTTCACCGCCACTGTATGTAGACAGAGTGGCCCATCCATTTATTTTGTGGCCCCACTCCACCCTCAGTAGGACTCCCTCTCGCTGATTTTTCATTATTCCGGCTTTAACATTTTTTCCACTCATTTGCCATAAGAGCCACAAAAAATGGGCTCTGAGTCGCGTTTTAACTGCGCCAATTAGTCGAATATTAAAAATACATAAATTTTATGCAATATTTGCATTTCGTTGCGCTTTTTCTACTTACAACATTCTTATGTATATGTACTTGTATGTAGAATAAATGGTTGGTCAGTGTTTTAAATTTCGTGTAAAAAATGTGTTGTTTTTCAATTTTTGTGATGTGGCCAAAAGGGGAAACATCAACAGAAACACAAACACCCACTGGGATCCACACACTTTTTTTTGGTAGCTTTTGAAAAAGCATGTCATAACTGCTATTGTTATTTTATTTATCCGTTAGTCTAATTTAACGAGCGTTTAAAATATTTTTGCAATTGCTATTTTATTCCAGTGCTTAAATAGTTGCCGCGTTTTCAACGCATTTTATTGGCATTTTTTGTTGGTCATTTTTCTCCCGTTTTTTTTTTTCGCTATTTCAAACAAGCACTTAGTTTCTATAAAATTAATATTCCACACCTCATACATATCTGTTGTATTGAAATTGAATTTGAAATATTTACACAAAAAATCGTCATTTTCTATTGCCTATAAAGTTAAAGCTTAACAAAAAAGAAAACAAGCTGAAAGCGTTTTAAGAAAATTAAAGACAGAAGTAATGATAGAAGCGTTCGATATTCTAAAAAAAAATCGTTAATCTTGATATGTTAAATTTTTCCACAAATATGCACTTTCCGACTAAATTGAAGCTTATATGTATATCAAGCCACAAAAATCGATAAAAATGCCAAATCTAATGAATGAAATCAAATGCCAATAGTAATCATAATAATATAAAATAAATATAAAATAAATTCTTTTAGCAGCCACTCTTTCCGTTCTGTACATTTTTATGTATCTATGTATAAATTGGATAATAGATACATTCAATTTCAATCTAATATTCATAAAAAATAGTCCAGCCTGAGTCATCTTCTCCAAATGCTAGTACTAGCTAACTGAAAGTCAAATGTGAAACTAATTTATCATAAAATTTTGAACGCCTCACAGATTTTTCGTGCAAACTTTTTTAATGTGCGACGAGTTCATTGTACATAAAATTTATACACAAAAGAATTGTAAAACCACAATTATTGGCTTTGAAAAAAATTGTCATAAAATGTCTTACAGATCATAAAAGATAACCCTTGTTTATGTATTTGAAATAATAAAATGTTTGTTACATTTATTTTTTATGCAAATTAAGCAAGTAATTGACTTTATGTTATACATATTTTTAGAGCAGGCCTGCTTTAATCTGATCGCTTGACGAGACGGCACTTAAAACTTTGGCATGGTCGTAAATTTGCGAGTAAGTGCTCGATAAACAGCTTCGGCTTTAATTCCTATCACCTCACTGCCCACCATTAAGTCCTCCCAACCAATTTGGACGCTTCAACCCACACCACGACGATGTCACAATTGTTATGCCGCTTTTTATGGACGTTACTCGTACTTTTGGCGCATTCACAGCCACCCATTCACAATAAACCTGACAGTTGGCGCGCGCTTAACAACGTGTAAACGACAAGCCCAAAACGTGTAGCTGTCTCCAAACTGTCGCTCCGCCGTTCCTTCGTCTGTTCGTCCGTTCGTTCGTTTGTTCGTTTGTTCGTTCGTCGCGCTGTCCGCCTCTCTGCATGCCGTGTGTCATCATTCACAACAATTCAGTTTGAATTAGAGATGGAAATGGGATGGATTTTTTCCATGAAAACACTCGCGCGCACGAACTTCTGTCAGCACGGTCTAAATTTAAATTTGTGGTTTACACGTATATCAAAAGAAAATTGGTTTTAGTTATAATCAATAACAGAATGTTAAGATTAATATTTTTATTATACATCAAAGATATAGCTATTGAAAGGAGCATTGATGGTATTGTATTATTAAAATATGACATAGTATTAAGCTTTGGCAGTAGTACGATTTAACGCAAAAGTAAAAAATCTTTTGATAACAAGTTATTACTTCCCTCATTTGTGGCTTAAATAATTACGGATTTGTTTTGCAAAATAAGAAGCTTAGGCTGTTTGTGAACTATGCATTTTTGAAGAACCTAATTATGAACCATTTCAAAAAATTATGAACACTTTTTCCCACAAGATTTTAAGCTTTATCCGTGTCTTTTGCGAATGAAATATTTTTAAATATTGTGCGCAGATATGTGTTAAAGAATAATTTTAAGGGTATTTTTCAATTTAAAATATTTTTGGTTCTATTACGCATTTAAATTGTATTTAGCAGAGCGAGGCCTAGTTACTAAACCTTTAGTCGCAATATTATTTGTGAATTAACTATGTATTTCATTACTTGTGTTTAATATAAACTCGTATTTTTAACAAATTCTAGACTCTTCTTCAATTGTAATGCTCTTTATTCGTGCTAGCGATCCTTGGCCACCTCTAGTAACATTGTTTTTGTGTTTTTCAACAGACCCACGCAGACGCCCTCCCTCCCCACTCACTCCTGACAAACTCTTAGTGGAGATTGTCAGCTGCTGAAGCGCATTTAAGGAGCATGCTTCAAACTGCAAACGACAGAACACATGTCAAAGTTGACACACACGCACAACAGCAACAACAACAACAACAGCAACAACAACCGCGACAAGAGCGACACAAGTGAAAGCCAACCGATTTAAATACAAACAGTTACGGAAACTGCGGCAAGGATTGAACAGAGCTACCTAGCTACAAACACACCTACATACATATGTACATACAAGTATATGCACTTTGAAAAAAATCCCGAAATCTCACTTCAAACACAATTAAAGGCGAATAACCAAAGTTAAGGAAAAGCTTCTGTCTAGAAAGAGGCATGAATTTACCTTTGAGAAAATAATTGTAAGTTTATAAACATTTTTAAAAATATTTTCAACCGATTTCATAAAATGTTTTTGTTGTTGTTTCGCTTTTTAAACGAATTTGAAATAAATTCTACCTTGTTTCTGGGCTTAAATCCCGCCATGAGAAGAGACTTTTGATTTATCAGATCTGTATTTTTTTTGTATATTTACATTGTTTTATTCATTAATAAACAATCGTATAACTTATGGAAATTTGTATATAGAATTTCCTTATTTGTAGTTTTGTATAGGATTTACCGGTCTACGAACAAGGTACTGAAAATCCATATTCCACACATTAAATAATTTTGTTTCCCTTTTGCACGGAATATTTTAAAATCCTTTTGGGTGTACAATTAATGCCGGCATTTTTATTTAAGGAAAAGCAATTTGTAGAAATTTGTAATAAAGGCAAACATTCAACAGCAAATTATTTGTTAAGAGAAATATTGAAATATTTCACAAATATTTTATGAATCACCTCAAATAATATGACTATTATGATTTTCTTTATTTAAGAAAAGCCTTTTTTTTTATAGATTTACTTTATTTAAGGAAAACAAAGCACATGTGTGTTTCTGAGTGTAGAAGCATAAGCGGCGACCAGCCAGCTGGGCAGGCAAACAGACAGGGACAAACATTATGAGACGACATTTATAGGTCGCCGTCATTTCCGTCAACGTCGTCACCATCGCCATCGCCGACGCCATCGCCATCGCCGTCGACATCACCGTTGGCGTTCAGCAAATAACGCCATTGTGGCCATTTGGAGATAACAATAAAACTGAACCCCTTCATCGCTGGCAATTGTAGAAAATTGTGTAAACAAAATAAGCAGAAAGTGGCGCACACTGGCGGAAAAGTGGTATTCAACAAATGAAAATTGTTTTCGTTGTTTTCCTATTTCCTTTTTTCAGTCAGTCTGCAGTAATTGACAAATTGTTTTTAAACAAATTAAGGCTATCAAAAGTTAATAGTCAAACAGATTTCTTAAGAGCCATTGCTATGTATGTTAAAAAAAATTAACAATACATGTGTTCAAGATTCGTGTACCAGAAAATTGCCTTTTTACGTATTTATATGACAAATTATGAAAATTATGAGGAATAGCAAGCTACATAAATGCAAAAGTGTCTTCATTTCCACCTTACTGAGTTACATATCTTTTATTTCTAATATCAGTCTTGATTCAATCTTCTAAAGTTTTTCTCATTATTTCACAGTCTTTTTGTAAATGAATTTTTTTAAATGTTTGCCATTCTTTATTCAAATAAAAGGAGTCAAATAAACCAAACCCGCGCAAAATAAACTCTAATGTTTAAGAAGAATGATTGTTAAATTCAGACTTTTGGAGTATATATATGGTATGACCTTTTTAAAGTACAAGCTTTTTAGAAAGGTATGACCAAGTCACATACAAATATAACCAACAAACTGAATCCTAATATATGAGAGAGGAGAGGAGTCTGTTGGTGTATGTAACAATTTATAAACAAGACAAGATAGAATGAACTCGAATTAAGAAAATAATTTATATGTTCTTTGTCAATTCAAAAATTCAATTCAATAACAAAACCAAACAAAACGCAAATAAACATAAGACAATTTTTCAATATCAGTATTTGAGCTCTGCTGAAACTATATAGCTATGTGAAATGTTAATCGACTAAGAGGCTGCTGTTTATCCTTTTTTCTTTTGGTACGATGAGCAAAGATGTAAAAGTAAGTGTGGGCATACAACAATATATAGATACAGATTTACATATTGTTCAGGACTTAGAAAAGGTGTTAATTTATTTTTAAAATGATCTACAAACTATTCACGTATATCAACATGCACGTATGCTTGAAGACCAGAAATCTTTAAATATTGCCCACTGTGCGTCGCACCCAATAAAATGAAAATAAAAAGAAAATGTTAAAAAGGCAACACCAACTGCGCATTGCTCGCAACTGCAAACGAAATAAAATTCAATTAAGCTAAATGAAAACTTAATTCAATTGGCGTGGAATGCAAAAACATTTGGCCATGGCCAGCTGCAGCCAAAAGCCTGGCAGATGTGGTAAGTGGGCAAGAGAGGGAGGGAGGGGGGAGAGTAATTTCGCTTACCGTTCAGCACATGAAGGACGATGGTGCGAGGGGCGCTATTGGAGGGGCTGCACGTGTAATTGCCCGAATCCTGTTTAACCACAGCTGGTATGATGAGTGAGGCCGTCTGAAAGGATTGTAACATTATTGCATTAATTTGAAGTCAACAACTCTTAACTCTAGACGCATAATAAATATCACTTAAGGGGTGAAATCACGTACTCGTCACAAAGAAATAATATCAAAAATTATAACCTGATGGCGCTGACAGCTACGTTGTTGGATGTCACATACATATACGAGTATTAAATAAAAATGGCAATTTTCGCAATGGAAAAGCATATAATGAGAATGCACGTAGACTTAATTGCTGTGCGTGAGTGCGTGCGTGACCGTGAAAGGCTGATAAATGGAAGGCGAAATTGAAGATTTTAAACATTCACAAATCTAAAGAATTTTAGAAATTTAAAAAAGTGAACCTCTAGCTACCTCACATACCAACACGGGCATTATGTGAAGGAGGGAAAGTACTTTAAAATCGGCAAAGTCGCAATTAAAAACAGCAACCTAAAAGAATCAACAAGCATTTATCTAATATTCAAATAACAACAATTTCTCCACCCATTTAACTTTTTTATTTTGAAAACTCTATAGATATTCAAATCGAATTAGTGCTTTTAAGGGTCTGCTAGATGTTAACTAAATTTAAGCTTAATGGTGTAGTTTATAAAATTGCATATTCAACTAAGAAGTACAAAATAAAACATATATTGTACCGTTAGAATGAAACAGATAGCAACTAAATAGGTGAATTAAAACATAATTAATTAACGCTACATTTAATTTTATAAAAGGGGAAAAATATATAACAAAAACAAACTAATATACAATATCAATAAAATGAACCAGCTGCCTAATATATAAAACTATGGTTGTTAAAAAATTTACATATAATTATAAAATAATAAGAATTTAATAGATATGCTGAACAAATTAAAAAATTAATAATAATAATTAATTAATATATGCACTGTTGCTACATACGAGTATATTTTTTTCAACTCAAGCAATAGCTTCTGCTGTACTTTTGCGTCCAGTAATTTATTAAAATAAAGGTTTTATAATAAATAAATCACTTCATAGTTCTCTTTTATTAAAAAAAAAAAACTGCGGAGAAACCGAAAGAACTGAATTATGATGCACAAAGCTTGTGACAATAATAGTTGCTTTAATTCTATTATTTTTATTTCATTTTGAAAATTTATTAATAAATTTAATTACGTGATCAGTTAGTTATATTAAGCCTCCTTCCGAATTTTATCGAATAATAGGCTAGGATTGATATTAAATGAAATACATTGATTGATAAGTGCTTGAGTTTAAAAATCCTTAATGCCTTCCCTCTAATTAGAACTTCAAATCTTCCATAATTTGAGGAAATTAAGCGTAAACGTGAAATGTTAAATCTGTGCGTGTGACTGAAAATACAATTCACGAATGTATGCGTTGCTCACGCGCACATCACTAGCACACACGCACAACCACACACACACACACACATATGTGTGTTTGTGTGAGCTTCTTAAACCACTTACCGTTATCTGTTTAATGAAACTGCTGCTTGGCAGCATTGTTGTTGTCGATGTGGTGGGCTGCGTCGTAGTGGTAGTTGTTGTTGTAGTAGTAGTTGTTGTTGTTGCAGTGATTGCTGCTGTTGAAGACGACGACGCACTTGTCGCAGATGTTGGTGATGCGGCATCTACAGTTGTTGTTGTTGTTGTTGTAGCTGTTGCTGTCGAGGCTGCATCCTCCGGCATCGTAACTCCATCGAGCGCCGTCGTTGTCGTCAGGGTCGCTGCTGATGTCAGCGTAGCAGCAGCAGCTGCTGCTGCAGTTGTTGTTGTTGTCGATGATGACGTTGCCAGCATGTATCCGGCCAGGACTGTTCCATCATTCACCGATATCGCATCTAATATATATGAACGCGTAATGGCCGCTATACCATTTAAGGATGCAGCATCGAGCGTCGCCGCTGCTTCGGTTGCAGGCGCTTCCGTCGGCAGATCGATGCGTTCAATTTCCGTGCGCCAGCCGCGACGATTATGCAAATAGATTTGCTTCTGATTGTAAAACCAATTAATGAAAAGTGGTGGTTCCAAGGCCTGGCTAATTATGCAGCGCAATTTCACTTCACTTCCGGCCTTCACGTGACGCGTTGACTCCCCAATTAATTCAGTTTTAGGTTCTGCGGAAGAACGGAACACACACACACACACACACACACACACACACATACAAATGAAAGAGTAAGTCACAGTGTTACGAGTAATCTGAGTAATCGGGTGGTGCATTGCCACTGATTTATTGGCATCTCTTCTGATTTATGGGTGATGTGGGCTGGGACCTAGCCAGGAGTGGGGCTCCGTTGTCGAACCGCGCTCGCGTGTAGCGGTTTTTCAGGAAAATGGGTCAACGGCATGTGCCGGATGTGGGCATTAATAACAGGAAATTGGCAAAAAACTTTAAACTGCTGCAACATGTGCGTGAGAATCAAAGGAGGTCGTCGGTATGACCCATAAAAACTATAGCCCATTATAGCAGATAGGGTCTATGAATCGTACATTTTCAATTGTGTTCTTAATTGATTTTTAAATTCAAATTTGCCTAAATTTGCGAGCTGACAGATAATTTTGTAAATCTAGTACCACCTTTAAAAAGTACTTTAAAATTTAATGTGATTCGAAAGACATCAATAACTTCTGACACTCTAACCATACACTTTAATCTATTCTCAGAAGCAAGCATGCTTTTAATAACCAAATAAAATGTGAGCCCCATTCCAGGCAAGACATCAATTTACGAAGGCATTTCTATGAATTAACATCCAGCCTATCAATCATTTTAAGCAACTTTACTGTCGATTATGTGGCTGACAAATTGATTTCGGTGTGTGGCCAGAATTTCGTTTACTCACCCACAATACGCAGGTGGACAATGGCGCTGGCCTTGGGCTCGGTAGATACCTGACACTCATAGGTACCCTCGTCCTTCAGCTGCACATACTTGATCTGCAGCGACCAGCGCTCCGGATTTGGTGAGAAGACAGACTGAAAGCGCTGGTCGGCAATGAAGGTGGTCTGGTCCACGGTAAGGATATGGCCGTCTCGCATGCGCAGCCAAGATATTGGCTTCTTCACCAGCTGCTTGACCTGATAAGACAAAGAAAATATAGAAGGGACGATGACAGCAAGAATTAGTTTCAAATTAGCAAAAACAATCAGTCAAAAGTAAATTCCGAAATCAAATGGCAGCAATGAGAGGCAGATTATGACGATAATGATGTCTAGCATTTACAGCATGACGTCAGCGGAATGTGCCTAACTTTTCCCATGTTTACACTGCGGACTGAAGAGGGCAAAGTTTTGCGCCAACAATAAACACAAGAGTAACAGCCACAACAATAATAATAATGGAAAGAGCAACAACAAGAATGGCAGCACAATGAAACAACAAGACGGTAAATAATAAGTAGAACAAAATGACAATTCATTTCTGTCAATAATGACAATAATAATTTAGAAGCAATTTTATAAAGCTGCCTCCGTAACAAAAACAAAATAATACACATTAAATGGCTTTTCTCGTCCTGTGCCCGAAACGCGCCTACCACAGCTCGAGCTGGAGACTGAACAAGGAGAGTGCCTGTCGGAGCGTCTGTCAGGCGACGGGTTGCGGGTCGAGTTCAGTTGAGTTCCGTTCAGTTAAGGTATACGAATGTACGGGTATTGTATGTATATTTATGCCACCCAGTGGACCACTTGTTAGGCATGGTAAATGATGTTCGGCTGCCTGTAATTACACTTGCCACAAATTGTGATTCTCTCTCTTTCCCCGCAACAAAATGTGCAGCTGGGCGTTAGTTTTCCTTTAGCTGACAATTTCTGACACTTTCCGTTGCAGGCTTGTTCAGATGAAGGTGTATTCTTTGGACAGTAGTCGAAGCAGTGTTTTGTATTTATTTTTAGTTGGAAATTGTAACTAATGTTTGTATTTATTCTGAAATAGTTGAGGCAAATGAAACAGTTGAAGCTATTTCAAATCAATTTGGTATTTTACATTTCAATTTGCAACTTTGTTTATTGATGGAAAATAAACGTTGCCAGCAAAATCCTTTGCAAACATTGGCATTAGAATTGGGGAAAATAATTAAATAAGGGACAATGACGACTTGACCAGTTGCAGGTGTATTTTTTAGACAGTAGTTGAAATAGTTTTATAAAACTATGCAAATATGAAAGGTAGAAATTGAAGTTCTTATTTATTTTGTGAACATCAAAATAGTTGCAGCAAATTAATTTTTCGCAAAGAATATTTCAATTCTATCAAGCGTAAAATATGTATCATTATTATTAAATATTAGTCACATAAATAGACGCTTTGAAATTGAAACTTTGTAAATATATATAGAAATATAAATACTTATATTTACAAACCCAACCCATTAATACATAACTCTAAACTCATATTAAAAATTTACCACAAAATCTAAGCCCAATCCTCATACACATGTATTTCTACTTTTTTCATTAATACTGTATAATGTACATATAAAGTTAGCTGAAGGCCCTAGAAGCCATTGCTAACATAATCTCTTTTGTTAGTTTTAAGATTTAAATTTTAAACTGGCATTATATACGTTAATAAATACATACATATATACCTACACGTACATCAACAGATCAACATTTTGAAACAATTATTGTCCAATAGCTCATTCCTCAGCCGAAAAATTGTAACAATTGTTAATTAGTTCTAATTTTCTGATCAATAAACGAGGAGGTATCTCGCCTAATGAAAAGAAGCACTTACTTACTTCGTTCTCAGTTTCTTATGGAGAACTTAATATGCTTAAAATGTTGTTTGGTTCTGTTTCATTTTCTCACGGTTTGGCAGAACACCTGAAAGGGGGCGCGCTCAAAAGTATGCTCTTAAAAATTTCAATTGTCTTTTTTTATTTTTATATTTTTAAAATACAATTTAATAATTTTATATACAATTTAATAAATTGTAAACCAGTATTCTGCTACCAATATGGCAGCTTCAGCTAGTTGCAAACGATTGTCTTTAGTCTGCATTTAACGATTGACTTCCAGGGGTAAAAAGAATCTGTAAATTGAAAAAGGCACACCAGTTGGAAATCATGAGATCCAACTCACAATCAATTATACTTGTATAGTAATTGCAAATATTTTGCTCAGTGCACGCACATACGTACAAATTTTCGGCTTGGTGGCTGTGAATGGCGCTGCCGGCATCGCCAAATGGCAGTAACAGCCTTTGAACTGTTGTTGTCATCAACTCGCAGTTGCCGGCGCTGAAGACGAAGGAGAAGGAGACGGCGACGTCATGATTAGATACTATAATCATTTGTGTTTTATGTGCTTGTTGTTTTCATTGTGGTTGCCTGTAATAGTCACCATGGAAACATAGTCACCATGAAACACGTACTCCCCCACCTACCCATACCACACACACACGCACACTCACTTACAAGTGCTGGCCATTTGGGCTCGCTCGAACAGACAGCATAGTTGTTGGCTGCCTTACTGTTGCCCTTCCTGGCTTTCGCTGTCGTGATTGTTGACGCTGTTCTTGTTGCTGTTGTCTGTCATTGGCATTGTTGTACGTGCTGCCAAAACTATTTTAATATTCTGGGTACAAATGAGCGCGCACGCCCCAAAGCCCCCAACGGCCCACACTTAACGGGTGGCCCACCGCCTGCGCTTCATTACGTGCGCGACCTGCACTTCCTGTCTCTGAAATTTCACACAAATCCGCCGAGAGAAATCTTCAAAGCGAAATTTACTTAAAGCAAGCTACCTATGCGTCCCATTGTCCGCGCCGCCAAGCCAGTGGCAAAAAAGAAATAATGGCGGATTAGAAGAAGGCAAATGAAGAAAAAACTCAAGGACATGACTCTCAACGCTTCCTTTTTTCTCGTGCCGCTTGCGCCATTTTTAATATGGCGATAAGATTTTTATAACATCGAGTCTTGCCAACCACGTTTTATGCAGAAGTCGGCATCGAGGTAAACGATGGCAGCAAACCAGAATGCCACGCAAAAATATGCAAGCGATATAAATAAGGAAATATGCTAAACACTAATGGGCCGAAAGAACTTGCTGATAAAATTCATGTAGCTTCTCGAAACTTGTTATACAAAATAAACAGTGAATAAACAGAATAAAATATTTTACACACTCCATAGGTGTTCATTGCTTGGGAGTCATTGCCGATTATCGAATTGGCGGGAAAAACAGGACAGCTAAGAAGGTAATTCAATTTCCAAAACTTTAAGCAAAAAGAAGTGTTTTAATTAGAGAAATTCCCATGCTTTTATTTTTCTATGAATGTGTGCTCAAAAATTTGCAGAGAACCTAAAAAGGAGCCACCCAAATATTTTATTATGGTTTCCCCTTAAAAGTTTATTTTAACTATTCATGCTCAATTTTTGAAAATGGACACTTTAGTTTATTGCGAGACTTTTTATCACTTTCTAACTAAATGAAATCTACACTCAATTATTTCAATCGCTTGGAGCTTTCATTCATCTAGAATTTCACAATTTTGCTCAACCGTTTTGTTAATTGGTCCATCACTCTACATTTAACACCACTACATAAATATTGCTCGATGGTGGAAAGAAGACGCTGGCAAGCAAGAAAATAATAAAACATAACATAATAACTAGTCCTGTGAAGCGAATTCAGCCAACAAATTTTATTATATTTTTTCTTTATAGCCGGATTGCCAATTTTCCTTTTAGTTCAACTGTACTGTGCAGGAAACTCGTTCATTAAACAGCTTTTGATAGTATTTTTAATAAAATATTTTCAGTGGCCTAGTAAAGCTCTTTTGTTTGTTATTTTTGATTCAAAAGCTGTAACCATCAATGCATTTTCGAATTAAATTCTTATTTTTCACCTTAAATACCTTTCCCCTTATTGAATTCGGTACTGAATCGTAAGCATATTATCGTTAACAATATTGAATTCCAACTGAATTAATTGAATTGACTCAGCAGCTTTGTAATCTTATAGCGGCCGCACATCTTTATTTAATAGGTCGAGGAATTTCTTTAATAAATTGGTCGCTGTATATCCTTTAAATTTGGAAAAAAGTTCAATATTCAGTCGTAATTTGTGCCATTGTGCAAGGGGGAATTTATTAAATGTAGCTAGAGCGACGGCAACGTGAGTGTCGCACAAGCATAAAGGACATTATTATCAGGCTGAACATCGACATTATACTCAGTATTAAGTGAAGATGCTTATCTAGTCAGCCCGGCCAGGCTGTCGGCCAACAAGCTGGCAAGCCATTGAGGCAAGCCGCCGTACTTGGAGTACGTGGCAAGTGTAAGTAAGTCTCCGGTCTCCGGTCTCGTCCGGCAGTGGCAGCCAGTCCTTGGCAGCATTTACTACACACTTTATTCTTGGGCCTGGCAGTCTACTAGCCTGCTCGCCAACACGCCAACTCGCCAGCTGGCCAGGTTGCCCGTCCGTCCGTGGGTCATGACTGTCCCATTTGTTAGGTATGTAGGTGACAAATATTCGTGCGGTTTGGCGTTGGCACAGGTCGGGCCACGTCCTTTTGACGTCAACGTTGGATGGCATTAGCTAATTTAAATTTCTTGGTTATGGTCCTGGCATTATCCTGCTTGTGTAGATTGCGGTTAATTTGCCAAAAAGTAATGGCCGCAGTTTGCTTTCGAAATTTATCAAGATGCCTGTCTGGGCGTAATTTAAATATTGTTAATTAGTTTTTAGCCGGATTATGTGGACTTTTGGCAAATATTTTCAAAACATTAAAGCTAAGTTGAAGGCTGCTGCATGCCGAAGCGGAACGGGGAGTGCCGAGAAGTGGGAGTGTTGGCAATAAAATGGCCAACGAGTATAGGAACAATCTACACAGAAGTCGTTACAATTCGAAAACTACTCGAACAAACTTTCGAGTGTCTGGCACTTCCTTAAGTGTCGCGACCAAAATCTTAGACTCGCGAAAGTCCTGCTGGCTGTCAACTCAACTGCTACTCGTTTCATTTTATGTGTTCCTTTTGCTCTTGTCAGGAATGTTTTTCATCACACACACACACACACACACACACACACACACACACAACCACAAACAACCGCACATACACACATGGAAAGTTTGCTCATAATATTGGGAATTTTGTCTAAAGTTGTTTGTAAATAATTTGTTTTATTTTGTCGATTTCTTTTCACACAAGAATACACCTCAAAGTGGCCCACGCATTTAACTTGGGTTCAGTCTTAACTTTTCTTTTGTCGTTGTCGATTTTGTATTCATTTTTTTTTTCATATCTACTGAAAACTTTTTGCTGACTTTGCAGAGCATAAAAAAGGAAACGAAGCCTCCTTGACAAGACACAACAACAACAACAAAAAAGCGTATACAAAAAAAAGCGCATACACTCGCATTTAGAATGGAGAAACGGTGGCTGGCCCTGCACCGATATTTTCTCCCTTTGTGAATTTATTATTAATTGATTAGCTTTAAGCAGATTTGCAGATTATGCAAAGTTATGATATGATATGGCAGGAACGAAAAAGGCAAACGCCAGCAACGCTGTCGGCAAAAGTGTTTTGTATTCTGCCTCGAGTATATAAATTTTGCATTGAAATTACCAGATAAATATCTTGTAGTTAAGTGTTTGGCCAACGGAAGGTGAAGTGAAAATGCAAAGAGGGTTCAATCGGGATTCGAACCGCTTACGGCGAGCCAACAAAAAATCCTCTCGTCCATAAACTTCACCCACTTGCATTGAGTTTTAAAGCGTTTGGCTCTGGTTGCGTTCACTTTTAAATGAAACTCTCCGCCCAAGCAGAGAAGGCGTTACTTCACTAAGTTAGTTGGCATTAGTTTAGGCAAAAACTGCACTCTTTATTCTGAATTGAAATGAAAAAGTTTAGTTCCACTCGCCTTTGATACCTTTGCAGGGCCGAGTCGAGCCGAAAATTGTGTTGCCTCAATACACTTCGTTTAGTTTGCAGACTTTAATTTGCATTTTGGCCCACTTTTGTTGGCCACCTTAACATAATTAAGGCTTGACATAGTTTAAGTTTGGGTATTTCTCATCTAAGCACAATATATATATTAGATCGATAGGTTGGAAGATTTGTTTGAAGCTTTAATAAAACATTTCATGGCTCTGCCTTTCAAAGGAATTACTTAACTGAGTAACTATAATCAAACAGCCCATAGTTTCTTAAACATTGTTAGTTATTTAGAAACTGAGAGCCTCTAATCAGCTAATGTTGTAGGAATAGAAGAGTACTAGGAGGATTGTTCTCTTGTTTAATTTGTAGACTACTCCGTTTTCACCTGCATTTCGACCAATTTATTTCTCTTGATCCAACAAGCTTTCAAGTTTCTAATCACTTTGTTAGCTGCTCATAGCGGGTTACTTAAGAAATTCTAATAATTTTCTTTGCATTTAAGTTTGCAACAGAAAGTGCAAAAAACCATAAATAAAAAAAATTGCGAAACTCTTACAGTAAATAAACCCTTTCTCAATGCTTGATTCTTTTAATTAACCAGCAGCTACCGAAGCTTTGTGTAATGTATCTCGGCTCTTAGCCGTTTCTGCGCAGCAACAGTTATAGATATATACCGCTGTTGCTGATGTTGTTGGTTTTCAGTCGAGTTCATTTGAATAAACATGAAAGTATCTGCCGGCGCTTGAGAATCTGCAGCAGTCATGAAGTACATGTAAGCGCAAAATATTTATTCCTTTGGCTTGTGGCAGTCAGAGCGGAGACAGGTGCGGAGATAGATGCTAAGATAGGGTGGGATGCGGGAAAACATACTTTCCAGCAATTTCCTGTCTAAACAAAGCCGCTCGCAACATCAGCGAATGCGCCAATTATAATTTGCCATGATGCAGCAGCCCGAGGACTGCAGGACAGCAATGGTTGTAACTTAGTTATTAGCGGATGGTCGCTATGGGAAGTCAGCAACGCCATCAGTAATACACAAACACACACAGAAGCAAGGGCTTAGTCAGGATTTCACTTAGAAGAGGGATCAAATTTGATAACTTAACTTGTCACGTCCTAAAAACAATCGAATAAATTCAACACAATGGCAATTAAACTTATGACCGACAAATTTCTTGGGCAGTTTTAGCGAAATGGACACATATAGAACATATGTAGGACAGATAGTTTTACTAAAAATCGTACATATCCTACATTTATATCTTGAAATCCCAATCATCCACAAAGAAACAGTAAAATCAAAAGCAAGCAGAGACAACATATTTTTCATAGACCAGGACTGTTGAATATATTGTGTAGATGGCTATAAATTAAAAAAGTTTCACTTGGCCTGTTTAAATAATTCTCATTTCTTAGTGAAACTGTTAGCTTATTTATTTCTATCACAGAAAAAATCGCGAACAAAATCCATATTAAAACATAAAAACTCTTGAAAATAACTGAAGATACTATAGATCTTTCCAATGATGATTTCAAATGGTCGCTCAATTTTATATATTGAAATTGCAATAATGATTATGATTTAATGAATTCTATTGCTATTTTCCTCTGTATGGCTCATAATACTCCAAATATTTAATAATCTTCGTTCTGGCAGTATTCAGAAATGATTAATCAATAAAGATAAGACAAATAATAATTGTAAAGGATTTCAAGCACACTAAGAGTATTCGTGCATTTGTTCTATTTGAATTCTGGGGAGTGTATCGCCCCCTCTTTAGGACGCCCATGCACACATACACCAAAGGAAAGACATCCGCATCAATTGCCCGTTGCCACGCCCGATACAAGTATATGCACTTGTGCGAATATACACATATAGTAGCTATGTATGGGTTGTGGATAGTGGATAGAAATAGAGCAGGCTAGTACGACTATTTGGGTCAGCAAGTGAGCAGCCCGAAAAATGACTTTGCTGGCGGCTGTAGCTCGCCTCGACTGCTTCATCGACTGAAGCGTTGCTGAAGTGGTATGCGGCAGCAGCAATTTCCGGTTTGTTTTCTTTAAGTTCCGACAGCGCCAACAGTAAATTAGTTCAAAGTGTAAGAAACACAACGCATAGCGCGTTGAAAACTTGGCCGCCCCTAACGGAAGTCCCCTTCCACACCAATCGAGGGCCCATCCTCAACTCCACAGATACATACTACGAGTATACGAGTATATGCGTACGGACTTCCTTCATATTGAGAAGATTGAGATTTTGCAAAAGGAGGACGGGAGGAAGAATGGGACTGACTACATAATCAGTTGCTTATTATAAATGATTAGCAAAAAATGTTTTGTAAATATTTGTACAGTAGGGGGTTCGGTTGTTGCTGCTGCCTTTGTTTACGCTCCCCACAAAAATAAACAGAGCTGAGAGCGAATTGATTGAATTTCAGCTAAATCAATAACAATTTTTCTTAAGCGTGCGCCTTCAATTACAATTACCGCGAAGGAAAAGGTTAGGCTCCATTTAGATAAGCATTAATCATTTTTTAGAATTATCCGAAAGCAGCAATATAAAAATGAAATGTAGGGAAGGGAACTAGGAAGAAATCGAATTACACAATATACTTTTTAAGAAATTAAATCCGAGAGGGGAAGAGTGTTGTTTTAGAATTCCCCAGCTATTCCCTCCTTCAAATCAAATTACTTATATCACCACATGCTTATATATCGTAGATGGAAAGCACTTACGTACATACATTTATATAAATATGTACTCATAGTTACGGGTTCATTTGGCACGCAATATACGGGTATGTAAGTTAATTAGGGAGAATTAGGTCACATTCACGTATTAGAGCGCTGCATGTATTGTTAGATAAACATGATTTCGAATGAATATGATTCGTTAGTTTACTCTCGCAATAACTTGAATCTGTAGCTATAAGTTTTATATTAAACGACATATATCGGCTATTATTTACTTTGACTTTAATTAGCAACGACATGTGCAAAAAGTTATACCTCTGTTTCTGATTTAAAAGTTAGATAAAATAAAGTAATATTTATAAAAGTAAATAACCAAAAAGTTGTACCTCTGTTCCTGATTTTAAAGTTAGATAAAATAAAGTAATACTTATATATAGAAGTATATAACCAAATTTTAAATACCATGACCATTCTTAAACTCATCTGCTCTAAATATCGGTTGCAATAATTTATAGCATTCGACTTATCGTTTTATGATACTGATTTATTATTATTATGCAAATAAAAGATTTGCAAATAAAGAATTCCCATCATCTCATATCCTGGACCTATGCTGATTTTTAAATAAATTTGACTTTAACTTTTACTTTTTATAATAAACAAAAATAAATGTAAAGACCTTTGTTAGAAAACTTTTCCGATTCTATATTCGCTCTTGGCCAGAAGATAACTTAACTAAATCTGATAAAAAAGTTTGCTGAACACATTTTGTTAAGTTAATGAAGGAGTTTATTAATCTCAATTTCAATTTTTCAATTCTGATTTGCAACTCTTCTATGTTAAATAATTATTGTTTAATTTGTTCAAAAGAACCAAGAGTTTTTCACGTGCTTAAAATATTATTGATATATTTATTATTTATTTTTTATTGATTTATTCTATTGTCTGAAAGTAATAATAATATATTACAACAAGACAATATGTCAATTGTCGCTTTAATCAGATGAAATATAAATACATAAATCAGAAAGGATAGAAACAAATCAACAGATCATTCCTCATCATTAAATAATAAAGTCATGCAATTTCCGTTTCAAAACACGAACTAAGCCTTTTATATAAATGAGTTGAAATATTCATTTGAAATAAGTGCGAATCATATGGAGAAGTTAGTCGAGTTTATTGATTCAAACGATGCTTCTCAAAAGCTTGAAATATGACTTGAGAGCATTTGGACGCCATTCACGTACACCTCTGTTATGAGCATACATGTGTAAGTGAGTTTGTTCCTTTGAATTGACAAGAATTATGTATGTGTGTGTGTGTGTTCGACTGTGTGCGTGTTCGAATGTGTGTGTGTGTGTGGAAGTTCACTTACATTGCAAGGTAAATAGGCATGGGTGCCTGCCTGGCTAATTATTGTCTGATAATCATCTATTGTTGGTGGCGGCTTCAGTGTTGTTGTTGGTGGGGTCCGGCGTGTGGTGCGCAATGTGGTCGTTGTTGTTGGCGCTGCTGATGTTGTTGTTGTGGTCGTTGGTGCTGCTGCTGCTGATGCGGCTGTTGTTGTTAGGGACTTTGCGGATGAAGCTTCTGTGGAGGATGATGATGAGGCTGAGGACAATGGCAATGCGTTAACGTTGTCCTGCGTTATTCTGTAGCTCTGCTCTTCCAATTTCAATTCATGCTCCTCCACATTTCTATTGCTCATAATAAGATTTGCTTCCAGGGCTGCAGTGACAACTGACAGGGGCACTGGCACTGGCACTGGCATTGGCGCTGCTGTTGTTGCTGTTCCTTTTCCTGACCACTGACCACCAATGCTGTTGCCATTGTTGCTAATGTTATTAATGATGGCATTGTTGTTGTCATTGGTATTGTTACTATTATTGTTGCGGTGGCTGCTGGGAGTATTTTTATCATCGCTGTGAGTGGCGGCTGCTGTTAATGCTGCAAGCGTTTGGAAGATTGCAACCGTTGGCTCTTTTGTCAACGCTTTCTCATCCGTTGCTTGAGGCGCCACCAACGCCAATGCCAACGCCTCTTCCGCCTCCGCTGCCTTCCTTTTGCTAAATGACGTCGCTTTTGTTGTTGCTGTTGCCTCTGCCGAACTGAAGCTCACATTTGTATGCGTTGCTGCCGCATAGTCGCCACCATTTGTATGCGCTGGCGAATTTGCTTTTGTAATTTGCGTTGACGCCGAAATTAATGCGAGCGATTTTGCTGCCCCTGTCAACGATGCTGCTGTTCCTGATGTTGTTGTTGCTGTTGCTGTTGCTGTTGCTGCTCTCTTTGATTGAGTCCTTAGAAATGTTTTGTCATTTGTTGTGTTGCTCTTTAATATTGACGATTTGACTGCCGCCAATTCCGCCGCCTCTCCCGCTCCCCCCACATTGTCAATTGATGTTGTTGGTATTTGGTCGCTTGCCGTTGTTGTTGTTACTGTTGTTGTTGCTGTTGCTGTCCCTAAAGTCGTTGCTGTCGACGCTTCGCTGACGGCACTCGTGTATTTGGAACCTAGAAGCAGAATAGCAAACAAGAAGACAAAATTGTTGTCAGTGCAAATTAATGACTTGGTGTTTTGTCTTCTGTATACACAATACTACGTACATATGTATGTATGTGTGTGTGTGTGTGTCCCTCCATTCTAACCCAAAATCCTTAACTTGTCTTTCAGTTATTGCGTTTCGTTGAAAGCGGCTTACATATTTCAAATACGTTGATCCCATTTATCTTCTGCCGCAGCAGCAACAATTAAAACGATTTACGGCCAGCAATTTTAATCGCTTTTTGCACAATGCAAATACACATACACCCCCCCCCCCCCCCCCCCCCCCCCCGACTGTTCAATAAATTAATCTGCATTTGCATTTGATGAGAATGATCGCCTTCCTGCCTTTTGCCCTGCCCCTGCCCCTGCCCCAGCCTCTGGCCCTGCCCTGTCTAATAGGCACTTGCTTTGTGCCTAACAACAACTTTGAAATTAATTAGCTAATTACCCTCAAGGACGACGAGAAGTCAATGGAAGTGGGTATCGGTATTGATTCAAATGGGATGCGCGTTTGGGTGAGGGGTGGCTGCGAAAGGAGTGGCAGGGGGACAATGCTTTTCAAATGCAACATGAAAGGCCAACTTGAAATTCAACTTTTTTCATGTTTTGTTCGTCAAAAGTTCAGCCAGCAAGTCAGGAAGTTCCAGACGAAAGTTGAAGTATGTGTGTGTGTGTGTGTGTGTGTGTGAAATTCTCTACTATTGTAGGGAGTGGCGCAACTTTTCGTTGGCACCCATTATACCTTTTAAACTGAAGCTGGGAGGGCTGCAAGTTATGCCTAACTAATTAGAATTATTGCCCGATTCGCATTATTGTCAAGGGAGCTATAAAGTTGGTGCTTAAATAACTGGAGTGCAAATATTCTACATTTTTCATTAATGCTTCGCAACATATTAAAGCTGAGCTCTGACTAGCTGCGGAGGAAATATTCAATAAAACTATTTAAATGTGAGTTATATGAAAAAGTTCAAAAGCAAAGCTCACGTTTTTGGGTTAAATAAAGTAATATGCTATTCGAATCTTAAATATTTGATATTATATTAAAAATGTTAATTGATTATAATTTGATGCTACTTGATGCTAATTTGACTTTAAAAACAATGTACTTTTGGTATGTATATTAATTACTAAGTGAAGCGATTCAGATTTTAAAAATAACTTCATTGAAATCTAAGCCTGCATTAGATTTTTAACCTATTGTTACTTAAGTCTTTGAACGAAGGCGAAGGAATGAAACAAAATATGCAAATATAATAACAACAAATAAATAACTCACTATTATAAATTGCTTATAACTATAAAGCAATTTACAACTTAGAGCAAAACATTCAAGTTTTGAATGAATTTATTGATACATGTTTTGGAAATTATGCATTTTCTGAAAATAAACTCAACTAAATTCCTACTTGAAAAGACTTTTAATAAATTGAAAGACAAGTGGAAAGATGGAGAGCAAATTTACAGCTTCAAAAAGTTTTAGGATTCCATTATTTATTTGTGTTACTTTACCCGTATTATTTGTCAACTAATATTTAATTTATTGTATATTAAATAAACGAATGTATGAGAATATTAAAGAAACAGTCCCCTTTTTATAGCCTGTACCCAAAGGGTGAAAGGCTATACTAGTTTTGTGCGCATGTATGTAACACACAGAAGGAGGCGTGGCAGACCCCACAAAGTATATATATTCTTGATCAGGATGAGAAGACGAGTCGATATAGCCATGTCCGTCTGTCCGTCTGACCGTCTGTCCGTCTGTCTGTATGAGCGCAAGGATCTCAGTAAGTACAAGAGCTAGGATAACCAAAATTGGTATCAAGGTTCCTATAAGCCCTAGGCAGAACGAGTTTGTTTATTTTTTCTGATACACCCCCCCACTCCCCCGCAATTCGTATTTTTTCTTATAACTTCCGTAATTCTCGGAATTTAAAAATCAATTTTGGTAGGTACATCCAGTTAGTACTAATGTGTCTGTGTGCCAAATTTCATCATGATAGGTCAATTCTGAAGAAAGTTATAGCCATAAGTAAAATCGCTGCTCATGCGCTGCCTGCAGCTCTGTCGGCAGCGCTGCCCGCAGCTGTTGTTGTTGTTGCTGCTTTTGTTCAACTTTGTGCTACATACATACACGCATATGAACACGCATAGGTACGTGATGTAAATATATGCTGTTTAAACTGAACATAAACATGTATTCTAATTTAATTAAATTAATTATTTTAATTAATTAATTCATTCATTTTTTTTAATAATTTAATTTTTTTTTAATTTTTTTTTTTTTTTAATTTTTCCTTTTTGTGGAGAGTACAGGCTATTTTACTGTCGGGCTTGCTCGACTGTAGCGTTCTATCTTGTTTAAAATAAGAATGCAACAAACTAACAAAGAAAACACAAAAAATAGGGGAACAGATATATTTATTTCACTACGAAACCCTACTTTGTGTCCTTTCAATATCTTCAATCCTATATACATATAGTATAGTGAGAGTGATCTTATAATATCTATCAGTCGCAGATTCCTTAACTAAATCTGTCGTTTAATTCTTCTCAATTTTAAGCTAAAAATTGCACTATAAATTGAACATTTTAAATTTATAAGGAACAAATAATATTATATAGCAAATAAAAAGCCCTCAAAAATCATTTTATTCGTGTCGATGTGTGGATACACATATGGGTCGTTACTCAATGCTTAATAAATACACACCATAAAGATAAAAATAGCAATAAAATATAAGAAATTGGCAATAATTTATGCACCTATGACACTAGTTAGCCAACCTACTTCCTCAACTTGGCTGGCATTGCAGGCGCGCGTAAATTTGCCAAATTGGCGCCATAAATTTCGCCCAAACTTTTGCAAAAGAAAACTGAAAATGAGGGCTGTGGAGTGGAGAGGGGGCTGCAGAAATTGTGGAGCTCTGCAGATAACAGCCGCTTCCGCTACCAACCACATGCACGCGTGGCATTTTCTGCCATTTAATCAATTTCATTAAAATGAAGTGCAATTTTTGATTTCCACTGAAGTGTGCACACGAAAGTTTGCCAGATTGAACTGAAGAATGCTCAGAAAAGTGCACAACAGCAGAAGAAACTCTGGCAATTTCGAAATCTAAAGACTAATCAAGCTCATCAAGGTCGAAACTTAGTCACGAACTTTGCCGCCACACTGCGTATGAGTAATATATGGCGTGCTTCGAGCAGAGAAGCACAAACTTTTGCTTATTAATGTTGCTCGATCGAACGCACCAGTGGCTCGTTCTCTCAGATAATGTGGGTGTTTGAAAACATATTGAGCCGCAATGAAGTGAACCGCTGCCTAATCAAGAGCGACCGGTCAAAGCCAACGACTCCTTTCACCATAAAATGCAAATGATATTCAAGTGCAGGGGCGGCTTTTACGAGCCGAGCTGAGCTCAACTGAGCAGAGCTGAGTCGGGCGTGGCAGAAGCAATCGGCCTTTATACTTATGTTTATGCTTCGCGTACGCGCAATAAAGATAAAGCGATTGCATATAAAAAGTTTTTAATTGCCTGCACTAATGATGCACTGCAGCAACAACAACAAATGCGTCAACAACAACATGATTATGTACGTATATAATAAAGTTGCAAAAATTGTGTAACGCACAGTGGCAAAGAAGCAGCAAAAGACAGAGAAAAAAAGAATTTGCCATTTGCGATGCCATTTTCAGCATCTTAAATCTGAAGGTTCTTTTTAAATGTTACTCTGATGCTTTTGCTACATGACTGACTACTACTTTAAAAGGCAAATTAATGAACAATTTCAATAAAATAAAAAATCCGTTGCTTTCCAGAACTATTTCATAATAAATCCAATAAAATTGAATAGAACTAGGAGTTGTACTTATGAATTTTGAAAAGTAGTATACTGTTTACGGCACAGCTTCTTAAATTGATAAATAATGCAATATTTAAAACTTTAGTATGGTCAGCTGTCAGTTTTTATAAAACCTCGTCTGGTGCAAATATAATTTTAAAAAAATGAGAAAATTATTTTCATAAAATTATTTGATTGAAATACATAGTCTTAAAATAAATTACTTTATTGACATAGTTTTAAAATAATATATATTATTGATGGAATGTTTTAAAACTGGAAGTGGTCAACTATACATTTAAAGAGGAAAATTTCTGCAGTCTAAATTTCATAAACTTTTTATGATAAAATGAAGAAAGTGGCCAGTAATCGATCCCACAAAAATACTAAGTAGCATACAAGTTTCAAGGATCGAATAGTAATTGCTTCAGCTACTGCTATCAATCCTTTTCACAGCTTTTCTGGCCTAAAAACCAACTATTTATGTATACATGAAATCGTAACATAAATTACAAGTCTTTTTTTTCAACATTTTACATTCGTTTTATCCATTGTAGTGGCAAGAGCGACTCCTCTGCCTGCTCCAACTCATTACCCGTAAACAAATAACGACCAACAGATGCCGACAGTCACCAAAGTCGCCAAGTTGAAAGAGTATAAAAACAAAATTAACAAGCGGAATGTTGGGGGTGCGCCGTAATGGCGATGGGCGTTGCAGACAGACAGCGAAACGATGGAGGAACAAATCAAAACAGCGTAAAAAACTGCAATAAAACAACTGAATTACTGGAGAGTGGCGCGCGAGTAAAAAAAAATAAAATAATAAAGCGAAATATTATGAAAAATATCGTTCCAGGCGAGGCAAGCGGACGAAGCCTTAAAGTCGGCAACAAAAATTTGCTTAATCTGCGCGCGCCAAAACAGAAAAGTAAGGAAAATAAACTAAAAAGTTGTAAAACACACACAAACGCACACTCGCACACAGACATTTATAAAAACTTGGCTCAGACATGTAAAAAACAAATTGTGCGCAAAGTAAAAAACACATCGGGCGAAATGGCAACAGCAGTTGCTGCCTGAGCAGGCCTGGAAGGAGCCCACGGTACGGCCTATTGGTGGGCACATCTTGCGTAATGAGTCCCGAGTCTGAGCGATGGCTGGCAGGGGCGGATGACACTCGCCAAGACAGACAACGCGGCGCTCATTGCCCCTCATTCCCAACTGTGCCGCAATAAGAGTCTCATCATGCAAGATTTCATTGAAATTACTACGAGCATTTTATTAACGTAACTAAGTGTGGATGTTCGTGGGGTTTGTGGGAGATGGCGGAAGGTGGTGGGGGTGGGGGTGGGGGTGGGGATGATGGTGTTAGTGGGAGTGAGAGTGTGTGGGCATAAGCTGTATGAGTCAAGCATTTTAAGAATAACGCCTTCCTCAAGAGCTGCTCACTAAAATTAACCAAGTAAGCCTGTCGGGAATTGAAGTGGGAAGTGCCCTAATAAAACGCCAGTTTAACGTTTTCCTCCTACACTCAAAGAAATTTCACACCTTTTCAGTCCAGGCTTATACTTAGATATATATAACTAAGAAGGTTTAGTTCACACAGTTAAAAAAAATAACAGAAAAGTATTATTTGTTCGATAAATAATTTATTATTATTGTTTATTCCACTTACGATTGAAAATTTGCAAGTAGCTTTTGATTTAAGCTATAGTAGCTAAGACCTTACGCTTGATAACTAATTAGATTCACAATTTCTTCATAACTGCTCTTAATTTACTGTTTAGAGTAGAAGATTTTTGTGACTAAAGAGCTTTAATGTCCCTTTGGGGTACCCGAACACCTCCTAATAGGCAGACCATAGATCTGAGTAAATGACTTGTGAGAAAGTTTTCGGCATGGAAGGAAGAGGCAATTTCAGGGCACACATCTTCATTGATGCAACTGATTGGTTCTTACTCATTGCGGTGCCATAATCCCATCCTATTCCTCGTTACTCATTTCAATATACAGTGATAACTCCCTTAACGGACACCCGTCTTAATTTTTATAATTGATTGTTATAGATAAATATTTACATAAATCCTAACGAATTTTTTATATTGAATAAAGTCAATTTATTTTAATCGCTTAAAAAGAAAAACAATTAAAATAAGCAAAAACTAAAAAAAAATTACTTTGTATCCTCTTAACCGGACACTCTCCTTGGCCGGACAAAAGTTGGTCGACAGTAAGTGTCCGGCCAAGAGAGGTTTCACTACAAGTATATACACATAATTCTGTTTTTACACAGTTTTGAAATGAAAAATTTTATTTATGTTTACACGACTTTATTCCCCTTAGGACGATTCATTTTGCATATTTGTAAACGACTTTTTTAAGATCCGTGTTAAAACAGAATTAGGTGTATATATAGTATAAGAATATTTTCCATTATTCAAGCTAACGTTCATAGTTTTTAAATGTTTTTGTTGTTTATATTTTCCAATTTATCGTATCTTAAAAATGTCGGCTTAAAATTGCATTCCCAGTTCTATATTCACAAATCAATCAGTCCCTTCACATAAAAAAGTCAACTTTCTTACTCTCTGTTTTTTCTGAAACCCATATCTATTTTCTGCTTGATCGGATCTATAACTGAATTCTTTAATCAGCTAAGCTCTGCGGCGGTTGAAAAAACGACTTGAACAAAAATGAATATGTAACAATCTCGTAATCATATCAAATGAATATTCTGATATGTCGTCGTTCGGTCACATATCATTTAATAAAAATCAAAATATAATCGAATTTATCAGACAAAAATAAAAATATAAAAAATTTAAAAATTTATAAAATTATGAAATGCTTTAAATATGTCTAGCTGTTTTTTTATTATTATTATACTTGTATATTAATAAAATAATTAGGAAATGAGAAAATATCTTTTCAAAATAAAAATTGCAATTTGAAAATAAAAAAAGTAATAAGTAAAGCTCTAAAATAAAAGCAATTGATAGGTAGACTCCTTTTTTTTTTTAAATTCATAAAACTTTAATTTTGCTGTTATTATTTGCAACAACTTAAATGAAACTTATAGAAAAATACAAATACAGCTTAAACTAGGAGCTTAGTCTTACAAGTATTTAGGTATACTCCAGTTTTCTAAAACAACTTTTGACTAAAGTCCAGCATGCGTTAGGTTTGCTGCACTTTTTTGACAGTCTACGCGTAATCTAAAGCTCTCTTGATTAACTTAAAAGTGCAAATATTAAGTGTGGACAATTATTTCCAATTTGTTTTGTTGTGCTAACAAATGTTATTTAGAATTTCTGTAGGTGTAGGTGTTCCAGTAGGCTTGACTGATGTCGACTCGTTATCATTTTGTCCGTCTTGCTAACAACAATTCGGCACTTTTCGTAATTATGATGGGCATGTTGTTGATGATGAAAATTGGCTCACCCCTGGGCATGTAATCTCTACTCAACACGACAGCGCTGGACACTCGTCAAATTGCTGCCACCGTTGCTGGTGGGGGGGGCGGTGGCAAGATGGTGTTGATAACGACGCTGTTGATGAGGCGGCGATGCGCGTTGCGCGCTAACTATGATGAGGGGGACGTGAGGGAGTAGGCGAAGCCAGTCATGATGGACGGGCCGTAACTTGTGTAATAATTGTTGCTAAGCGTTTAAGTCAAGCGTGCAAGTTTGGCGGCTAACCAGCGACATCTCGTGGGAAAAGGGCAATGAGCAGCAGGGAAGGACAAACGAACTTATCTCAACCGCAAGCAAGCCAGGCTAGAAGCCAACAAAACAACAATGGTGGCCAAGTGACTGAGCGAATGAATAACCGACTCAACTGCCCCAGCGGCCTTGTCCAAGCCCATGCTGGGGGACTAAGGCCAAGTCAGTTTGTTACAGAAATTCAATGGTGCTCGACTTGATGCAGAATTTGATTAAACAAAAGTAAAAGTTTTCAACTTGAGCGGAGACCAACAACACAACAGAACGCAACAGCAACAACAACAACAACAGCAACAATAGCATCAGCCACTGTATTCCACAGTGTTTTGTTGTTTTGATTGCTCGACGCTATTTTTTCGCCATTGCTGTTGGCTCGACGAGAGCTTCCTGTCGGCTGCCTATTGTTGCTGTTGCCGTTTCTTTCTTTGCTGTTGTAGTTGTTGTTGTTGTCGCCTCTAAATTGGCCGGCGCCATTGTTGGCCCAGCACTGAAGCCGCTAAAGCGCTCACCCTAGTTGTTTACCACTTTCATGGCCAATAGTCGCAAAAAAGGCCACAACGTTGTTGCAAGTCAAAGTTTCAAATATTCTCCTTTTTTTTATTTAAACACAATTTAAGGTTCACCTCCTGCCACACCCACACAACGACAACCTTGCCCAACGTAAATTGGAAAACATATTGTAACAGTTGTTCAGTTAGTCGAACTTTTCTTCTGGCTGGAGCCAAAGCATTTGATCGAATACTCAGGCTCAGTTTCGTTGACGAGAATGTTGAGAGTCTCTTTCGGCCATGTTTATACATTTGTTTGTACAAGTTGCATTGTTAATTGCGCTTTTGTTCTTAATTAGTCCTCTTGCTCTTTGCATTTGAAAAGTTGCTTGGACCAGGTTTGGTAGAACTTTTATAATTTCTTTGCATGAACTCGTATACTCGTAGTTTCCAAAGTCAGAGAATTAGCTCGATAATAGTTTGCAGAGAACTTTTGTTTACTTTAGAAGGTGAAAGAAAATACTTGTTTCAAAATGTTTTTAATTGACTAAAGGAGTCGTTTGGTCCAATAAAAACTATGTTTCCGGCTCTCCTTTTTGCAACTAATCTGCATTAATTTCGAAAGCACATTTTAATACTTATTCGTTAAAACAAGGACACAATTGGGTCGTCGATGCATTTCGTTTGACTGCAACCATCTTTGTTAAGAAAGTTATTTTAATTAACTTTTCTGAATAAATACATTTCTAGAGATTGGCACTTCTTCCGAAATGAGTTACAAGCGATAATAAATACGTCCAGAAATTGGAAAGTTGTAAGAACTGTATTGCAATGGCAAAAAGGAACACAACTGAATGGAAAAGGAATTGTTTTGTAAGCCGAACTTAAATAGTTTCTTTGAAAACCATTTCATTTATGGTCACATAAGTATAATAAAGGGGAAAAAACAATTCAACATTTTTGAACAATTATGATTTATTAACTTTTAACCATCTTCAAAACAAGTGTATGGCTTCTATAAGGAATCTAATTATTTTATATGGGGGAAACACCCGGAAGAACTTTTTACAGCAGATGGACCATATCGAATCGTCAACCTCTTCATTTATAGAAATTTCGTATCTCACTCTATTGAGAACAAAACATATCATCATCTCCTAGTTAGCTGCTACATCAAGCGGTCGCTTGCCTGGTAATGTGTATTGATTTACATTACACATAAACAATTAACAGGAGCAAGTATTTACTTCAATTAAGTACAACATGTCTTATGTGTATAATAAATAAACATTTTCATTTAACTAATAAGCGAGTCTTAACAGGAATGCAGCAAAAATGGTTTTGAATATTTCAAAAATAAACTGCACTCATTTCTTTAAATTGTAATCACTAATCATTAGTTATAAAAATTAAATAAAAAGATGTTACTTTCACAGGTGCTTAGTTATTACGGCAAATACTACTTAGCGAACTGCCAAAATATGATTTATGTAACTTTTTTCCTTGCTAAGGCGATTTAAACAACTTTCTCATAAAATATGCACAGCATCAATGCATTAGAAATGTCCCAGAAAAAGCAACTTTGAAGCCTCGCAAATCAAATTATGTGTTGCAGGAAAATATGGAATGTTATGTGGAATATGATTTCATATTGCTTTTCATCTTACCGGGCATGAAGACGAGCAGGACCAGCGGCAGGACGATGATCATGCTCGGCTGCGAGCGCATGTTGGTAAACTCCATTAAATTGCTAAGCAAATTGATAATTCTCCTTCTCCTCCTGCTGCCCCTATCGTGGTCGTCTGCTTGGCCGCGCCGTGGTCTTAATCGCGGCTTGGGCCGGGCTCTCGTTTTGGTTCTGGTTCTGGTTGGCTGCCAGCAATGCCGCCTAAATGGGTCACATCGGCTGCGGCAGCGGCAGCGACTGCTGTTGCGGCGTGTTGCGTGTTCTTAGTGTTGTTGTTGTTGCTGTTGTTGCCAGCTAGCCTAGTCTGAGGTCGACAGGTCGTTTGCCTCTTCAGCTTACAATGCGAAACGCGAATGCAGCGACGTTGTTATTGTTTTTTTTTTAGCTGCTTCTTGCCGTTATAATCGCAAGCAGAGTTTGCCTAGCGGCTATCGTCTTTAAACACTGTTGTTGTTCTTGTTGTTGTTGTTGTATTGCAATTGGGTATTTCTCGTCGCAAAATAGCAACGTTAACATATTTCAAAATTGCACTTTAGCTCTGCTAGCAAGGATACAGGAATCACACTTAAATACATACGAGTACACACACATTCTTATAGGTTGGGGAGGACAACATGTGGCCATTCCGCACATTTTTCCCATACTATGGCCTTCCTTTCCTTAGCCTGTTTTAGTATTTTATGGCAGCATTTTGTGCAAAATCCAGTTTTGATATGTTATGTGAGGTTAGGTTTAAGTTATGTGGCCAGTAGCATTAGTTGCTCTGAGTGCATGCATGCGTGTGCGTGTGTGTGTGCGAGTGTGAGTGTGTTTTGTTATTCCATTTATGTAGCTGCCGTTGTTTCCTCTTTGCTGTGTGTTTTACCTCATCTTTCTTTTACGCTCGAGGCCATTTGGCATTAACGAAATTTATTTATGCGGGTGTTTAGTCAGGCGTAAAAGAAGTACATATGGCCCACACACAAAAATACACCCACACCCAAACCAACACCAACACACACACGCACACGCGGACGGACACACACCTAGCCAGATAGACGGGCAGACACGGCACGCACACACAAAAGAGCCCAACTTACAAATGCACGACACGCGCTCACGAATTGAAAGGATTCGTGAGACGACAGCAACAACAACGTGGCGGCGGCATCGATGGCGACGACTCGGGCAGCTGTGCTTTGCCAGCCCCCCTCTCATCAACCTCTCTTACATATCTGGCATTGTGTGGCCATCTGTGCTGTTCTGTGCTGTGCTCTATCTCAGATAGAATTGTATAGCAAATAATGATTTAAATGTTGTTGTCGCAGTTGCCGCTGCGCTTCAAGACAGAAGACACTCTGATAGAAGAAAGCAAGAAAGAGCTAGGCACAGACAGATAGACAGACATACAGTGAGACAAACAGACAGACATACAGACAGGCAATAAATGTGAATGGCAGACGAGCGCTTATAAATAATAGGAACGAGAGAGTCAATGAAGCGTTAACGAAAATGTTAAACAAATGTAATGTTCTGGACGAACGAGAATTGTCTGTGTGTAAGTATTTGGGAGCGGGGAGTTAGCAAGGATAACGTAAATAATATTAAATTGATTGCACAAACAAAAAACATATAGCAGTAGGCATAAGAGGCGGCAACGGAAGTGTAAATGATTTAACACAATTCCATTTCTGAGCCCTTTTCTTTCGCCATGATTCTGGACGCACTCCGCCCCCGCCCAACAACTCGGCAGCAAATGTCGCAAGTTGAAGCTCTTGATGCTCGATGCGACAGCAAAGAGGAATAGAACAGATAAACATGAGAATGAAGACGAATTTGTTGTCGCTCGACAGTCCGGAAAGAAATTTTTGTGTGCTCCAATTTTTGTTTTATTGTGCGTACTTGTTATTTATTTATTTAATACGCTTTGTTTAGTTCTATCTTCATCAAATATCGTTGGTGCGTTTATTTCAAATTCTAGCTTGCACAGTAAATTCATTTATTTGATTTATATTTATTGACAAAATAATATCATTTACTATTTCGTAACTTCAGTGATTTTAGCTTTTTTGTTAAATGCCACTAGACTTGTCATAAAGAGACTGCCTTTAATATTATTTAAGAAGCTTAAGAGTTCATGGCAACATCCCTCCATTAATGTCAATCAGTTTCATAATCCGGAAGTTTAGGCAGAGGGCTTCGAATAGAAAAAGCGAGTATCACGAGCCAGCACTTGACTCTAAAGCGTATGAAGTTTGAGTTCAATAATAAACGAATGTAATTGGCAGTCAATCAACTCTAATTGGTAAATATTTAGGTTTTATTTCAAAAGAGCACTCGAGCCAATCAGAAGAATAAATGCCCGTTACTGATAGCCCTTTTAACGAGTTGAACAGTTTCAATTTTATAAACTTAATTATTCTTAAAATGTGCATTGAGTTGCAGTTTTATTTATTTATATTGAAATGTATTAATTGCTTTTTAAATTTTTTATTATTCCGTATTACAAACCAATTTATATAAATGTTGTGAGAATATATTTCATTTCCTCAATTATATTTTAAGTTTAATTCATTTCAAAAGTTAATCCATTTGTAAATTTTGTAGCTGCTAATTAATCGTCACACTTCACATTCGATATTACTTCTTTTATTTGTTGCACAAACAAAACACTCGAGTTCATAAGCATTAATTCATCATCTGTTCACTTTTGGTAGCAATTTCAAGTTCGACTTCACCTCCGACGATTACAGCATGCGCATAACGGACCACGCATGACACCGGCTAAAATGAAACTAAGCCATTGGCACGCTTACATTGAATGCCAAATGTTTCGTCATCGCGGCTCGGTGGCGTATACGCAATCAGCAGCCGTTCGTCAGGTCGACTGTTGCTGTTGGTGGCTTTCGTACTCGCATCTGTTAAGGATGCTGTGCTGTTGTCTAACAGAACAATAACAGTGGTGCTAACAGGAAAACGTGAGAGAACCAACTTCAGCAGAGTTAGAGACAGAGAAAGAGAGAGAGAGAGAGAGGAAAATGTTACACACATGTTATTTAACGCAACTTGTTAACATCTGTTGATTGGCACAACAGAAAAATATGCAACTAATTTCAATGTAAAAAGACCATTTTCTAATGCAATGCAACAAAAAGCAATTAAACTGCATTTGACATTCGAATGGAAACTGTAATGTGCTACTTAACCTTACTTTCCCTATCAACAGACACATCTAATAAGGAAGGTTTCTCAATGTGACACGGCACGCCCATCATTTCTATCATCATTAGCAGCATTACCATCAACATCATCGCCATGCCGGCAATTAATCCCCTGAATGCTCGGCAATTTACGCAAAATGTAAAAACACAAGCACAAATACACGCACATACAAAGCTGAGCAGCGCACGCACATTCAACACTGCTTAACAGTGCGATAACATAATTTCTCATTAGCGCTACTAAAGCAAAAGGCGGCAAATTGGGCCGCATTTACAGCAACAAAAACAATAGCAGCAGCACAGCACACACAAAAGGCGCTCGCTCGACAACCCAAAAAAAAAAAAATAATAAAAAGGAGCAGCAGCAGTAGGGAACAGCAAACGCAATGGGAAAACTAGGACACAGTAGCGGCAACAGCAGTCGCACCAAGAACTACAACAACGACAAAAACAATGCGTCGGTAAGTGCAAACACAAGGATAAGCATAATATCCTGGCACTCGCTTTGCGAGTCTTTTATATTTTTTGCGCCTTTGCGGCAACCAAAAAAAGCAAAAATGAAAAAAAGAAAATAAAACCAAAAAAGGACAAAAACAGAGGCCAAATTATTATGCAGACGAACATGCCATAGACGTCGAAAATGTACAAACAGAGAGAGGTAATGCATCGGCAGGGGGTGGGGAGTGTGGGAGAGAGTGGCAAAGAGAGTGAGAGACAATGCATTAGAAGCGGGAAAGTGGAAGTTTTTGCATAAAATTCAATTTGTCGTGTGCAGCAGCCATGAATATGCCGAACTCACGACTCGATGTCGAGCGCATCTTCATGTTGTCTGTCTGTCTGTCTGTCCGCCGCTCTAGCTGTCTCCGTCTCTGTGTCTGTTTAACTGTGTGTGCGTGCGTGCAAATGCAGTTGTTGTATGTATTTGTCAACGCGTCCTCTGCAGTGGCGTAACATATGCGCGAAATTACTTACGAGTGCTGTCACTGACAGTGGCTTGATCCTGCCTGCCTGCCTGCACAGGAAGTCGAAGCAAATGGCACACACACCCATAGTGAGGGCAAAACAATTGGTTTGTGTGTGTGTGAGTGCGGTAGACACATGCAGTTATTAACGCACACAGTCGTAAATGCATTTCATACAGTAAAAGAATTGAACACATGCTTCAATGCACACGCATAGCCAAATTAAAAGGTCGTGTCTTGTTTGTTTTTATTATAAATTTTTGAATGCATTTTATAATTAAAAAGCCAAGCAAGGCAAGGGAAAACTTTGTATTGCAGAAAAACATTTTAAGTGCCCACTGTGCATAAAATGAATTGTAAAACGACTGCCAGGGCTAAAAGTTTGACACTTACTCAGAGGGTTAAGGTCTATGCTTATCATTTTTTTCCGCAATATGTATACCGTTGGGAAACGGCTCGTTGCTGGCAACATTGATTTGTGTTTGTAGAGATTTTTGTACATGTTAATTAATATTAAGCATACGCCACTTGTATTTCTAATTTTTGGTTTGAGCAGCGATGCCGTTACGAAGTCATAACCTTTACAAAATAATCTGTCGATCCCAGGTATAATATTCTAATTTCAGGGGGCAATTATTAGCTCCAAATACAAGTGCCGATGTTTTTTACAAATTTTATTTTTTCTAGTTTCTATAATTATTCTGCATACATACAGGGTATTTCTAAGGCGAGACACCGGACATTAGCTTCTCCACTTGTTTTTATTTCATAATGAACTTTTAATTGAAGCACAACTTTAATCTTTAATAAGAACTCAAAGCCCGGGAACAAGATAGTTACCATTTCACCCTCACTGATGAATTTTTACTCACCAGCATGTATAAACTTCACAGATTTATATATTTTTTAGTTTTTTAAACAATTTAAAAAATAAAAACCTTGGTACGAAAAGACGTGTAATTTCAAAAGCCACAATTTACACCCATTTAGATTAGATTAGATGAGATTGAACATCTCAGAGGTAGATGAAATAGTTAATGACTCTAAAATAAGAATAGAACAGTAATTATGAGGAGAATAAATATTTAATGGGTGGAAGATTAACGAAAAGGATTTTTAAACTCTAGAGAGATTCACCAGCAATATTACCAAGATCGGCTAAGCAATGTCATTTATTAATTTTCTTTAAATTTTTTATAACTTTTAATTACAAATTATTTTCCAACTAAGCTTATACCTAACTATATACTATTCCATATGTACTTGTTATATTCAAAATAAATTGTTCATAATATTGTGAGTAATAATTTTAATTAAAATTCAATGCGTCGAAGGGTAAGAGAACTTTTAATTAATTTTTATGTTACATACGCCATTCCATTTCCGAGTCATTAATCACAAGAAGGAAACAAATTTAAGTTTCTTTTAAAAAATTAAAAAAAAAAAGGCAATCTGTTAAAAAGGAGAGGAGCTGACTTAAGTAGGTCAACAGATTTAATGTGATTGGAATGGGCGAACGCAGTTGTGATTACAAAGATAATCAAATTAAAGTCGAAACAGAAATTCTGTTGCAGGGCAATGAGCAAAAAATGAGCAAGTGATTAAGCAAAAGGAAAGCGAAAGAGTTTCATTAACACCACCCACCTAAGGATTTCCCTCTTTATACACTTAATTAAGTTCGACCAGCGCCCCAAAGCAGACAGCTGACAAGGACAGCGGCAGCAGTGTCAGGAAGTGCAGGAACTGTAGCCGCATCCTCGTGACACAGGGCAAACAATTCACGTCAATTAATTGAAGTTAGCTCATCGGTAAAACAAAGGTGGACCATCGCATGCACCGGTGGCGACAGGGCGACAACTGCATAGGTTAAAAGGACAAAAAAAGGAACCTGAAACAATTTGCTAAATCAGCGCATTGGGCGCCGCGTGTCTGTGAGTTAATAATTGCCAAAGGCGGTGCTTAATCAAAGTTTGTGCAAATTCATTACCGCACCCATTTGTTTGTCGAGCGAGAAGGCACACACTGAGGGTGGGGGGGTTCGAGCATAGTATTTGCCATTTTGCGGTTAACAATTGGCAATGACAGTGGCCATGGCAACATAAATTCCCTCCCATTCGCAATGACATCAACAACAGCATCAAAAACATTCCAAATGCCAGATGCAACCGAATGCATGGGGTTGCCGAGTCCAGCCCTCTGCCCACCCCGTGAAGCATATGCGACAAATGTTGCCCTGGCGAAAATTTCACTAAGAGATAAGCGCAATTACATACATAATTCAAAATTTATTTGATGCTGACACTGAAACTATGTGCATGCCCAGCCACACTCAGAGAAATAATCAAGAACACAGTTCACTATAAAATAGAAATACTATCTTCAGACTAACGCACTCGACCACTTCAAGTAAATTTGAGTAGAAAATATACTTTAAAATGTGAAATATAGAATTATTTCATCGAATTAGAGTTGAAAATTCATTTCGCCGAGTGTAATTACAGCCCAGCTGGCCACCCTTGCATTCTTCCAGTACGGCTTACATGTGGACAAGAAATTCTGTACCTAGTGCGATTCTCATCCGGGCACAGCGACAACAACAACAACAGCAACAACGTCATCATTAACAACAGACCGCATTAGCCGCAAGTGCAATGTGACATCAGTAACAAGAACGAGTACGAATACGAGTCGGGGACAGCAATAGAGCTCGGTCAGACTAGAACTCGGACTCTGCACTTGTCACCAATGCATGCAAGCTGATTGATTCGTCATCGGTTAGGGTGCATGGTAAATGCAGGAGATCCGAGTGCAGGGTGACAACTGAATGTTGGATCCACTTACGTTGCTTCTGCTTGTGGCATGACCCCGCAGGCTGACATACATCACACAGACAGCTTTAATTCGCTGTCATGCCTATTAATTGGCAGACTATGATCGCAGCGAACATAACTTCGTTTTCAGTCCATGCGTTTCAATGGCTTTGATGTGACTTTTAAGAGCAACGGATATAAAGGCAAGTAATCTAGATTTCTCTTTAATTTTGAAAAACGAATTTAAAGGAGATGTGACCATAACACATTGCATAGCAACAACTGGAAATTACTTTCACTTATTCACGATTCACTTATTAGTTTCAAGAGCTACTGAAGTAAACAAATTGTAGTTATGTAAAGGTAGCTTCAATTGGAGAGTTGAAAAGTATAACACTTAACTCTTAATACTTTTTGAGATCCTTTTAATTGTACAGACCATTTTAAAAGTTTAAATGACTAAATTAGTACATTTTCATTTCAATAAAAAAATAAACGAGTAGGCAAGGATATATGCAATCGAATTAGCATCCTGATGTAAAGCAATGTTATTAAGAGAGTAAGAAAATAGAACAAGAAAAACACACATTTCTGCAAGCGATTCAAAGACCTAATGGGAGTGCATTTTTTCAGTTGGATTCCACAACTGAAAATAGTCTTCATTTAGAAACAAATTGTTTTTATTATTTACCAATTCCGCAGAGCTTTCACAAATTCTTCAAACGTTTTGGATTTCACAAACAATGTTCATTACCTGGAAAATAATTATCTTGTATACCAACTGAGCTGAAACTTTCCCGATTGGGAGCAATGCAATATTTCGAGCAGCTCAGATCCCTCAGAAATGAGCTAAATGGTCAATATAAAACAACAGCCCCGTTTTAAGTTTAGTTTCTATTTATAAATTAATACTTTTTAATATTCTTATTTACAAGTAAATAGCTTATGTGTTTATTTTTCTTTTAAAAAGGAAATGTATTGTTTTTTCATTATTCATTATTTTACGCACCATAGAATATAAGTTAATCATTTCAAATGTACTTGTGCCACTTATTAAATGTAATTTGCATAAAACTACACCCCATAACTGATGCATGCAAAAACATGAGCACAGTACATGGGGCGTGACGGAAACGGGTAAGCTTCCATAGGACAGTGAAAATCCTCTAGGCAACAATTACACATTTTCACTCATGACTGGATTTTAATGTAAGCTTCACATTCTGGCTGGATATCATTGATGCGGTTAGATTGTACGGCTTCCTTTTTCACAATCCCAGACACGGGTCTGCCTGTCTGTCTGTCCGTGTCCGTGTGTTTCTACGCACACTTATCTGTGTACTTCTGTCGAGGTTTTTGGCCAACGGGATGCGGAAAGTGCCAAATGTCTAACGTGCATACCGACAAATATAATTTTTTGTTTCGCATTCCCCAAACGGCCGACAGAAAAGAAAACAACAACAACAATGTTGGCATGACAACTTTTACTCTTTTGCTCAACATTTATGGAGCATTGCGCATATGTGGCTGGATGTGTGTGTGTGTGTGAGGTTTTTATTATTTCCAGCAAAAATGGCCAAATGGGAATCTGTTTTTAGCATTTTTGCTGTTGTTGTTATTTTTGAATGCGGTCTGTCTATAGATTTAGATTGAACTATCGAACATGTTATTAGGATTGGGCCAAAAACTTCAACCGGACATTGACTGCTAACTTAACATCCCTAACCCGTAACCCGTAACCCTTTCATCCCCCGAAGCGTTGGTGTTTCACTTTTTTAAACAGGAGCAGATAGGACGAGTCAGAACAATGATGGCGAATAAGCGCCGTAGGTGTTTCGACTTTCGTATTTAACTTAGGGAAACGTTTAGTGTGTGGTAATAAAATGCAGCAATTGTCAGTTTGTTAGTGCTTAAAAATTTTATTGGTCTCAGTGGCTTTGGGCGAAAGTGAAGAAAATTGTGTGTGTGTGGTGCTGTGTGTGTCTGTTGGTAAGGCTGGAAGGGTTGCTTTGGCCTGAAAGGGTCCACTTGGGTATTCCAAATAAGTGAAAAGCTTGTCGAGCATTGTGTTTAAGTTGTTGTTAAATAAACACACTCAAAGTGCTTTCTCTACGCTCATTAGAGCAGGGGCGAATACATACACGCACCTATTTATTTAGAGTATGTAAGTAAACACTTGAGCAGCTTTCTCGTGCTGCATGTTGTAAACAAAATATTGCTTTAAATATACTTAATCTGCTAAGAGGCTGTTGGTATTCAAACACTCATATTTTATATAGTACAAATAAACAACGTGTTCAGGTGTCCTGCCATAAGCACTTCATAAACCACAATATTCAGCTGCTAATTTGCTGACAAGGCAAGTCCGTCTGTCAGCAAGTGCCTAATTAAAATTATTCACTGGCAATTAGCAATTAGCGTGAATTTCTGAATTGTGCAAAAGTTGCGGGGAGCTTATCATAAATAAAAGTGTACTCACTTCGTTGGAGACGTTGTGGCCGCCCGACAATGTTCAGGTAGTCGTAACGCCCCCTTTTATTGTTGCAATGTATTGCGGTTAGAACTGCGTTTGCCAAGTGTGGTAAGCGGAAACTGAACAGACGCTGTTCCTATGTTTGCGACTGCGGTGCAGATGACAATGTGCCAAGACAATCTGAACAATAATTAATTTCCGCACTCCACTGCGTCGTCAGCGAAAAATCGTCGGCGTAGAATAAGTCCTCTCTCCTCAGCTATCTGTTTTCGAATTATTTTATTTTGATCACAACAAACCTATGTTTGTTCCAAGTGGTGAGTTGGGGGAAACTTAAACCAATTTCATTAAAGTACTCGCAACATTTAGCTTCCAACTTTTTCATTTATGTAATTCTAGAACATGGATTCACAATAATGGGCTGACATACGAGTAATTATTTGTCGTTCACGCTTGTTATGATCCCAACAATTTCTCGATTTCGTAAAGACGATCAATAGTTTGTTGGTTTCTAGCCTTCTGGTCTTGTAATCGCCGCCCAATAGCATCCAAAGTAGCTGCAATAGCTAACAAAGAAGCATCGTTGGTTTGCCAATCTTCTTTAGCTAAGGAGTGAGAAACATATTCATTTCCCAATGAATTCACAAGATTAAGTACTCCAACTGCTTCTGGCTCTGCAGAAGCTGCCGGACCTACAGCAGCGGCTGAAGTTGCATCTTTCACTACAACAGTCGCATCAGGAACTGCTGCTCCTGGAGTTGTTTCTAATAAAGCTGCAGCTGCAGTGGGCTCAAGCAATACGGCAACAGCAGCAACAGCAGCTGGCACTTCTGCAGCGGCTGGTGCTAGAGCTGCAGATGGAGCTGGAACTTCCGCGACGACTGGAATTTCTGCGACGACTGAAACTGGAGCTGGAGTCCGGTCTACGGTAGTTGCAACAGCAACAGGCGGGGCTGGCACTTCTGCAATAACTGGAGCCGTTGCTGCAGTAGGCTCTGAGGTTGCTGCGAGTGCAACAGGAGCTGGAACTTCGGTGACGACCGCCACAGCAGGCGGTGTAGGTTCTGTGGTTGCTGCAACAGCAACAGGCGGAGCTGGCACTTCTGCAATAACTGGAGCCGTTGCTGCAGTAGGCTCTGAGGTTGCCGCGAGTGCAACAGGAGCTGGAACTTCGGTGAAGACCGCCACGGCAGGCGGTGTAGGTTCTGTGGTTGCTGCAACAGCAACAGGCGGAGCTGGAACTTCTGCGACGACTGGAGCTGGGGCTGCATTAGGATCTACGGCTGCTGCGACTGCAACAGGAGGAGCTGGAACCTCGGCGACGACCGCCACAGGAGGCGGTGTAGCTTCTGTGGTTGCTGAAACAGCAACAGGCGGAGCTGGAACTTCTGCAACGACTGGAGCTGGGGCTGTATTAGGATCTACGGCTGCTGCGACTGCAACAGGAGGAGCTGGAACCTCGGCGATGACCGCCACAGGAGGCGGTGTAGCTTCTGTGGTTGCTGCAACAGCAACAGGCGGAGCTGGAACTTCTGCAACGACTGGAGCTGGGGCTGTATTAGGATCTACGGCTGCTGCGACTGCAACAGGACGAGCTGGAACCTCGGCGACGACCGCCACGGGAGGCGGTGTAGGTTCTGTGGTTGCTGCAACAGCAGCAGGCGGAGCTGGAACTTCTGCAGCGGCTGGAGCTGGAACCTCGGCGACGACCGCCACGGGAGGCGGTGTAGGTTCTGAGGTTGCTGCAACAGCAACAGGCGGAGCTGGAACTTCTGCAGCGGCTGGAGCTGGAACCTCGGCTACGACCGCCACGGGAGGCGGTGTGGGTTCTGTGGTTGCTGCAATAGCAACAGGCGGAGCTGGAACTTCTGCAGCGGCTGGAGCTGGAACCTCGGCGACGACCGACACGGGAGGCGGTGTAGGTTCTGAGGTTGCTGCAACAGCAACAGGCGGAGCTGGAACTTCTGCAGCGGCTGGAGCTGGAACCTCGGCTACGACCGCCACGGGAGGCGGTGTGGGTTCTGTGGTTGCTGCAATAGCAACAGGCGGAGCTGGAACTTCTGCAGCGGCTTCGGTGACGACCGCCACGGGAGGCGGTGTGGGTTCTGTGGTTGCTGCAATAGCAACAGGCGGAGCTGGAACTTCTGCAGCGGCTGGAGCCGGTGCTGCAGTAGGCTCTGAGGTTGCCGCGAGTGCAACAGGAGCTGAAACTTCGGTGACGACCGCCACGGCAGGCGGTGTAGGTTCTGTGGTTGCTGCAACAGCAACAGGCGGAGCTGGAACTTCTGCAGCGGCTGGAGCTGGAGCCTCGGCGACGACCGACACGGGAGGCGGTGTAGGTTCTGAGGTTGCTGCAACAGCAACAGGCGGAGCTGGAACTTCTGCAGCGGCTGGAGCTGGAACCTCGGCGACGACCGCCACGGGAGGCGGTGTAGCTTCTGTGGTTGCTGCAATAGCAACAGGCGGAGCTGGAACTTCTGCGACGACTGGAATTACTGGGACGACTGAAACTGGAGCTGGAGCTTGCTCTACGGTAGATGCAACAGGCGAGGCTGGCACTTCTGCAATAACTGGAGCCGGTGATGCAGTAGGCTCTGAGGTTGCCGCGAGTGCAACAGGAGCTGGAACTTCGGCGACGACCGCCACGGGGGGCGGTGTGGGTTCTGTGGTTGCTGCAAAAGCAACAGGCGGAGCTGGAACTTCTGCAGCGGATGGAGCTGGAACCTCGGCGACGACCGCCACGGGGGGCGGTGTGGGTTCTGTGGTTGCTGCAACAGCAACAGGCGGAACTGGAACTTCTGCAGCGGCTTGAGCCGGTGCTGCAGTAGGCTCTGAGGTTGCCGCGATTGCAACAGGAGGAGCTGGAACCTCGGCGACGACCGCCACGGGAGGCGGTGTGGGTTCTGTGGTTGCTTCAACAGCAAGAGGCGGAGCTGGAACTTCTGCAACGACTGGAGCTGGGGCTGCATTAGGATCTACGGCTGCTGCGACTGCAACAGGAGGAGCTGGAGCCTCGGCGACGACCGCCACGGGAGGCGGTGTAGGTTCTGTGATTGCTGCAACAGCAACAGGCGAAGCTGGGACTTCTGCAGCGGCTGAAATTACTGGAATGACTGAAACTGGAGCTGGAGCTTGCTCTACGGTAGATGCAACAGGCGAGGCTGGCACTTCTGCAATAACTGGAGCTGGTGATGCAGTAGGCTCTGAGGCTGCCGCGAGTGCAACAGGAGCTGGAACTTCGGTGACGACCGCCACGGGAGGCGGTGTGGGTTCTGTGGCTGCTGCAACAGCAACAGGAGGAGCTGAAACTTCTGCAGCGGCTGGAGCTGGAGCCTCGGCGACGACCGCCACGGGAGGCGGTGTAGGTTCTGTGATTGCTGCAACAGCAACAGGCGAAGCTGGGACTTCTGCAGCGGGTGCAACCGGTGCTGCAGTAGGCTCTGAGGTTGCCGCAAGTGCAACAGGAGGAGCTGGAACCTCGGCGACGACCGCCACGGGAGTCGGTGTAGGTTCTGTAGTTGCTGCAACAGCAACAGGCGGAGCTGGAACTTCTGCAGCGGCTGAAATTACTGGAATGACTGAAACTGGAGCTGGAGCTTGCTCTACGGTAGATGCAACAGGCGAGGCTGGCACTTCTTCAATAACTGGAGCTGGTGATGCAGTAGGCTCTGAGGTTGCCGCGAGTGCAACAGGAGCTGGAACCTCGGCGGCGACCACCACGGGAGGCGGTGTGGGTTCTGTGGTTGCTGCAACAGCAACAGGCGAAGCTGGGACTTCTGCAGCGGGTGCAACCGGTGCTGCAGTAGGCTCTGAGGTTGCTGCGACAGCAACAGGAGGAGCTAGAACCTCGGCGACGACCGCCACGGGAGGCGGTGTAGGTTCTGTGGTTGCTGCAACAGCAACAGGCGGAGCTGGAACTTCTGCAGCGGCTGGAGCCGGTGCTGCAGTAGGCTCTGAGGTTGCTGCGACAGCAACAGGAGGAGCTAGAACCTCGGCGACGACCGCCACGGGAGGCGGTGTAGGTTCTGTGGTTGCTGCAACAGCAACAGGCGAAGCTGGGACTTCTGCAGCGGGTGCAACCGGTGCTGCAGTAGGCTCTGAGGTTCCCGCGAGTGCAACAGGAGGAGCTGGAACCTCGGCAACGACCGCCACGGGAGTCGGTGTAGGTTCTGTAGTTGCTGCAACAGCAACAGGCGGAGCTGGAACTTCTGCAGCGGGTGCAACCGGTGCTGCAGTAGGCTCTGAGGTTGCCGCGAGTGCAACAGGAGGAGCTGGAACTTCGGCAACGACCGCCACGGGAGTCGGTGTAGGTTCTGTAGTTGCTGCAACAGCAACAGGCGGAGCTGGAACTTCTGCAGCGGCTGAAATTACTGGAATGACTGAAACTGGAGCTGGAGCTTGCTCTACGGTAGATGCAACAGGCGAGGCTGGCACTTCTTCAATAACTGGAGCTGGTGATGCAGTAGGCTCTGAGGTTGCCGCGAGTGCAACAGGAGCTGGAACCTCGGCGGCGACCACCACGGGAGGCGGTGTGGGTTCTGTGGTTGCTGCAACAGCAACAGGCGAAGCTGGGACTTCTGCAGCGGGTGCAACCGGTGCTGCAGTAGGCTCTGAGGTTGCTGCGACAGCAACAGGAGGAGCTAGAACCTCGGCGACGACCGCCACGGGAGGCGGTGTAGGTTCTGTGGTTGCTGCAACAGCAACAGGCGAAGCTGGGACTTCTGCAGCGGGTGCAACCGGTGCTGCAGTAGGCTCTGAGGTTGCCGCGAGTGCAACAGGAGCTGGAACTTTGGTGACGACCGCCACGGGAGGCGGTGTGGGTTCTGTGGTTGCTGCAACAGCAACAGGCGGAGCTGGAACTTCTGCAGCGGCTTGAGCTGGGGCTGCGTTAGGATCTACGGCTGCTGCGACTGCAACAGGAGGAGCTGGAACCTCGGCGGCGACCACCACGGGAGGCGGTGTGGGTTCTGTGGTTGCTGCAACAGCAACAGGCGGAGCTGGAACTTCTGCAGCGGCTGGAGCCGGTGCTGCAGTAGGCTCTGAGGTTGCTGCGACAGCAACAGGAGGAGCTAGAACCTCGGCGACGACCGCCACGGGAGGCGGTGTAGGTTCTGTGGTTGCTGCAACAGCAACAGGCGGAGCTGGAACTTCTGGAGCGGGTGGAGCCGGTGCTGCAGTAGGCTCTGAAGTTGCCGCGACTGCAACAGAAGGAGCTGGAACTTCGGTGACGACCGCTATGGGAGGTGGTGTGGGCTCTGTGGTTTTTGTAACAGCCACAGGCGTAACCGGAACTTCTGCGACGACTGGAATTGCTGGGATGACTGAAACTGGAGCTGGAGCTTGCTCTACGGTAGATGCAACAGCAACAGATGGAGCTGGCACTTCTGCAATACTTGTAGGTGGAGCCAGTGCTGCAGTAGGCTCTGATGTTACCGCGAGTGCAACAGGCGGAGCTGGAACTTCTGCAACGGGTGGAGCCGGTGCTGCAGTAGGCTCTGATGTTGTCGCTAGTGCAACTGGAGGAGACGGAACTTCGGTGACCACAGGAGGCGGTGTGGGTTCTGTGGTTGCTGCAACAGCAACTGGAGGAGCTATGGGTTGTATGATTGTTACGACAGCAACATATGGAGGTGGAATTTCAGCGATGTCTGGAACTGATGCTGGTGTTGGTTCTACGGTTGCTTCAACAGCAACAGATGGAGGTGGAATTTCTGCGACGACTGGAGCTAGAGTGGGTTCCATGGCTGATGCGACTGCAACAGGTAAAGCTGGAATTTCGGCGACATCTGCAACTGACTTTGGAGTGGGCTGTTCTGTTGCTGCAACAGCAGTAGGTGGAGTGGAAACTTCTGCGACGACTGGAATTTCTGGGGCGACTGGAGCTGGAGTTGGCTCCACTGTAGCTGCGACAGCAACAGGTGGATGTGGAACTTCTGGAACAACTGTAGCTGGAGCTGGACAGGGGTTTACAGCTGGAGTTGCAGATGGAGTGGGTGCTACAGAAACTGTAGGTGTCTCGATGACTGCAGCTGAAGGTGGAACGGCAACTGCTATTACTGTAGCAGGTGGTGTGGCATTCACTGGAGCTAACGGTGTCTCTATGACTGCAACTGGAGCTGGAAGAGTCACTAATGTTGCTGTTGTTGCAGCAACGGCGGCATGCTCTGCCGTTGGCAAGATGGCAGTGTTGGGGTCAATATTTGCCATATTGAAATAACTAAGTTCGTACTAATCATATAGAATTTGTAGTTTTTACAAAAGTTAATCTTGCGAATGCAATGTCTGCTGCCGTTTTCTAGAAAAAATAAGTGAGGAAATGCTATTAGCGACGGCCTTGATCCCGGTCATCGGCTTAAAAAGCAAAAGTGTGGTTGGCAATTTCAAAAAGAAAGCACAAAGTTAGAATAATACAATGAAATAGAACACATGTGAAATTTGAACGAACACGTCGTCATTCTCTACATGTGCTTCTCACTTAACCATCGATATTTTCAATTGATTTTATTTTCACTGGCGCCAGTGTGGCGCTTGTTACAAAATCTTTTCAGTGCCTTGATACATTTTTCGTTATTTAATATTTGTTTTAAACGGTTACAATTAACACATTCGTTTAAATTTCACGTTAAGGCGTCATCTATAAAACACGAGGCAATTGTTTATATGGTTAGCATAAATTAAAGTTAACTTGTATCACAAAAAGCTCCTTAATTGGTTTGCCTCAATACCCAGATGTGGATGTGTCAGAACTCTTCCCGCAAGCCAACCGAACTATTTGACATCAGACGCTTAACTGACAAGTGCTTCACATTCATTTATTTAGTTACACCTCTTCTACTGGGTCGTTCGCAAAGAAGCCCTACAACTGCCCATTGAGGATGAAAACTAAACGAAGATTTGGAAAAAATAAAATTAAACAGAAAGCTTGTGTCCGTTTCATAGCCTTGCCAGCTTAGCACTGACCTTTAACCGACAAGAAGAGTCAACAGGTTGCGAATGTGCTTAATTGATTCACTTTAAAATGCTGGCAACAGTAGAACTTATGCCACGATGTTCACCCTTTTCCTTCTACATTTGTTAAGTTTTGATCAACCTTTTCACCCACTAGAGAATTAAATTGTCCAACAACATGTACTGAGAAAAGTCCAGTCAAACGCAAACAGCTATCTCAATTTTCCATTTATATTTTCGAATATACATATCGAGAAAATATATCATCCAATATTGTATATTAAAGATTTCAACTCAATTCGTTTTGAATAATTCATATCAAAGTACGAGTATGGGTGTATCCCGATGGAACAGAAATATAATTTATCTAAACACCTAGTTGAAGAAACGTATTCTGACTCTATTCACCTATTCATGCTTAATTTCGTATCTCAATCACTCTTCTGAAAACAACTATCAGGAAATCAATATCAATGGCTCCCCTGTAGCTATTTTTGCATCTCAGTTAAGCGAATACATCGCCCCAATCATTGTCAACTGCACTTACAACTTAATATTTACACAATGCGGATTACTTGCCATTCTGTCAATGCGTCTGTCAATAGCTGCGAAGAGTACCCCTCATGCGGTCGTTGCCATTTAACGTCCTTTGCAAGGATAGACTGCCACCTCGTTGCCATTCATTCGAAACACATTAGCTTGAAAAAATGTAATCGTAAAGAACTAAGGAATAAATCTTTCAATTTTTCGATTCAATAAAGGAAAGAATGTAAAGCAATTCACAATTGCAACGTGGGTACACACACACACATACACACACAAATACACGCACACTAACGTCCTGCCAAGCAATTGCACACACCGGCATCGGGAATCGAAGTCGAAGTAGAAGAAGAAGAACACATAATGCAATCTGCGTACAATTTGCAGCCGTCGCGTCGTTTAAATCCCAACACACTTGAGACTTTTGCAAATAGTTTTTCATATGAACAGGAAGAATTCTCAATAAACGCAAAAAAGTGCTCAGCTTTATACACAATTGATTGACACCGACTAGAATATACTGTTTATGACTTCAAGCCTAAAACTATTACATTAAATCTAAAAAAATATATATATGTATATACATTTTTATTGTCATGACCATTAAATCATGAGTAAAAGCCATTATTGGCTTGGAATTATAATTATTCGAAAGCTTATATTTAGCTACGCTTTAAAATTAGAATCTCAGTCGTTTGGTCAATTGCTTTCCAATCCAACGTCCATGAATTACGCATAATTAAAAAAATTTAATTCAGAACGTAGAATGAGGAAAATATATACATGTGTATTTGTATATTGAAATGTATGCTTTAAATGTATTTAATACATGCGAATAAGTTCCCTGATGTTGATATGAGAGGTGATTGGATTTTCAACGGGTGCTAGAACGACTGCAATAACTCGAGGAAACATTTGTTACTTAGTTTTAAATTTATAAAATCCTCTAGCTAGTTAGCTAGTCAGACCATACCAATTTCTTTAATAGCTCTGCAATATACTTACTTCTACAGTACATTAAATAAATCAAAATCAGGGACCGCAAATAATGATTATTTTGTTTTTTTTTTAACGACAAAAATTATTCACCTATAGAAATTTTGAGAAAGCGATGAGTTTACAGATATCCTTTTTTAAGGATTTTCTATGCATGTTCACCATGATTTATATATTTTCATTTTTATTCATTCGCTCACAATTTAATAATTAATTTTGAGTTTTTACTTTAAAAATTAACCAATAATCATTATTTTTGATCAAAAAAGTAAAATTCAAGCTGAAATTTTGTCTGTGACATTAGGATTAAGGACAAAATTTATATGATTACAGTCTTGTCTGTGACATTAGGATTAAGGACAAAATTTATATGATTACAGTCCCTGATCGAAATGTTTAAATCCCTTGGTGTTTGCTCCATGACCATGCAATTCAAAAAGAAATAGAACCTTCTATAACTGTATTTTACATGTTAAATTCATATCAAGAGTTGAAAACCACTTTTATATATGAATATCTTATATATCTTAACAATAAATAAAACGAGTGAATAATAAATTAATTGTTAATGGCTTAATGCTTTTTAATTACAACATCCATAAATTTTTAACGGTAGATGGACAAACAGGCCGATAGAAGCTTTCGTCATTGTCCTCACAGACAACATCACTAACTTCAAAGTTATGAAGCTAAGCAACTAGGAAAGATTAGATTTAGATATACCACAGGATATATAAATATTTATCCATTCCTAATTTCTGCAACATACACCTCACGCATTTCATCTTACACTTTCACGCTTTGAGTGCAGGGTATAAAAGGTTGCAGGAAATCATCCGTACAAACGCAAATGCTTGTGGGGAAATCATTCCAACACTTACACAAACACACACGACACACATACATATACTTGTATAAAGCCGCAAACTGACATAAACGCCATGCACCTCCGAAGTAGCGCCAACTACGAGTACACACATACATATGTATATATATTCATACTTGCAACTATAGTCGTAGAAATTGAATTGGCAGTTCAATTTCACGTATTATTGACATTTAAGCGTAGGATGGAAAGTAAGAAACGAAAAACGGCGCTGCCTATTTTTTTGTGTTATAAATCAATCGCTGGATGAAAACAGCAGGAGATTTTGAAGTGAAATCGAGATTGCATCCTTCCAGGCTCCATATCTCCATTAAACTCCTTGCCGTAACTATTTGCCACAAAATAATTTTAAAAATAGATATATGTCATTATCCAATCCACTAAGCGGTAATATAAAACGTTACTGATATTCGTTTGCATCAACAATTTAAACTGTGACCGCCCAAGAGTGTAAGGTGCTTTTCATTGTCAGTTTATTGTTTGTAAAATCATTTGCAATACCTCGTTTTACAAGCTCAAAAGCTAAAAATTCTCATAATTTCATGATAAATATCAATTTATACGATTTTCACAAAACTAGTTATCACAAAATCAACAATTTTACTTTTATAAAAGGACGGAAGTTCAACAAGTTTAGGAAAAAGGAAAGGAAATACTGATGTGATACTTTAAATTAAATATAAATTATTTCAAAAATAAAATTTGAATATTTATGTAATATACAATTAGTTCTTATATTAAAATATATGTATAGCAACTAATTTTAATAAATAAAAATAAATAGTTAACGCATCAACCCAGCTGGTGTGTATTTAGAATTTAAAGGGCTTCGTTTTTTACTTGGCTTCCTCTCTGGGTTATAGTTCATATTTCGGCTCAACTATGCAAAAATAAATACCAATACCATAATTTTTTAGAAATACTTATTTTAATGCAGTTTTGATACTTTTCAATATTTCCAACAAATTCGCACATAAAAAATAACAATAATAAAACATGTAGAGCAACAATTAATTCCAAGTCACAATAATTTAAATAAATAGTAATAATAATTATACATTTTTTGTAGGTTTGCGGAACGGAAATATTTATTTACCAATGCAGATGACAATTTTGCCGTCTTCGCTTTCCTCATAATAATAATAAGAAAAACAATATTATTATACGAAAACTAATAAAAATAATCATAAAAATATTAATAATCGTTTAATTAAAACTAACAATTTTTGGATCTTCCCTCGCACATTTCTATGACCATCGATATGAAAAGGTTTGAATAGCAACGCTGTTGACCAGTCAGTAAAATAGAAGAAAAAATTAAATCTAAACAACAGCGAAAATCAATGCAACAAAGGGGGGCAGAACTTAATTGGCGGCATTTAAAACGCACACATTGGTTGCCAGCCCCAACAGCCTTGATGGAGTGACGCGGAAGTCATGCTGAGGAGCCCTTCAGGCGCATTTTGCTAAATTGCAAATATTTTTCAATTCGCATGCATCAGCAGCGCCGAAATGCAAACAATTTTGCCCAACAGCCGTAAAACGGGGGAAAAAAAAAGTGCCAATGAAAATGGTTTAAAAAGAGCAAACCGCCCGCTTAGCGATTTTTTGTGCTGTTGCTGCAATTTTGGGACGTATGGCAACGCCGAACAGTTGCATGGTGCATGGTGCATGTTGCATGTTGCAACCATTACGCAATTTATTTTCAGTTTGATTGGATTTTTCGTGCTTAATTGCACATGGC